AGGAATGACACACGTTTGCAGAGGACAGTAAGTCCCAGGTTTGTAGGTCAAACCTCAATCTAGAGGCTGCCAGGCTGACAAATCCAAGATCAGCAGGGAGTATATAACGGACCACTGACCCAAGTCCAAGGTCACATATTGACAGGAACAGATGCTGAATCCTGATCAGGCAAAACACAAAAATGTTGCCATGATCTCTTTATATACTTGACACTGGCAACACTCCTGAATACTCTCCCCTTGGGGTGATTGTGACATATCACATCTCATCAAGGGGATTGGCTACATCGTAATTGCCAGGCCAGAGAGTCGTGGCTGCCTGATTGACATCACAACGACCTCTGCTCCCCTCCCCCCCCCAAAGAGAAGAGACAAGGACTGAGATGGGAAGTGTAAGCTGCTCACTCAGCGAGTGTGGCCTATGAGTGAGACCCCTGCATGAGCACATGAATCTGCTGTTCCTCCTGCCTTTCACACAGGAGGCACCTCGTCACTACACGTGATTCTAGTGCTTAAAATAGACATTTCTTATACAGAATTGCTTCTGGTTGTAAACCAACTCTCTTGTCTTGTCTTGACAGAAAAGTTTGTTCCAATTCTGTGAGTAAATCTGGCTGTGTTACACTTTTAGAGAGATGTGTTATTGTATCCAGCACACCAGAGCCTGCCGACAGAAGAGAGTGAAAGAGTGAAATTCATTTTCTTTATAAAGATTTCATGGTGTTTTGAATTTGTATCGCATAAATGACTAGAGGTAGTTGAAAGTGTTAAATACAAGGAGCAAGCAGTACTGTTTATCTCTACAGCTGACACATTGGCCTTGGCGCAGGAAAGGACACAACATGAATAGTAGACTAAGGAGGTCTGATAAACTCACAACTGTTACTTATCCCTTGTCCAGCTCATTCATAATCATCAGTTGAGTGACACTGAGCCCTTTTCGATTGCTTTCTAACCCATTCACGGGCATATCTACATTATCAGTGGAAAACAAAATCATATTGGATGTTGGGATTTTGTAATCTCCTGTGAGAGGCAGAGTGATGTAATGAGACAGCCTGGAATCAGGAGTTAGGAAACCAGGCACTCCTTTGAGTTACTGTAGATAAGACCTTGGACAGGTTACTTTACCTCTTAATTTCCTTACCTTTAAAATGTCAGGCCATGCAGAAAGTGTTTTCACATCAACTGGACATGATCTATTGTTATTGTAGGTGCCTTCCAGTCGAGTATGGCTTATAGTGACATGAACAACAGATCTGAACCCTGACCTATCCTGTGCAATCTTCATGCTTCCTGATACACAAGAGCCCATGCAGCAGTCACCATGTCAGTCCACCTTATCAAGGGTCTTTCTTTCCTTTGTCAACCCTCTACCCTTCCTAGCATCATGTCCTTCTATAAGGAATAGCCCCTCCTTGCAACATGTCCAAAGTATGTGAGGCAAAGCCTCATCATCATTCTTGCCTCTAAAGAACACTCTGGCTATACCCTTTCCTAGATAGATTTCTTCTCTTGGCCATCCATGGAATGTTCAGAGGTCTTCTCCAACACCACAGCTCAAAGGCATCAATTTTTCTCCTGTTACCCTTATTCATTGTCCAGTTCTCAGATGCATAGCAAGTGATTGAAAAGACCATGGCCAGAACCAGACACACCTTAGTCCTCAAACTGACATCATTACTCCTCAAGAATTTGGAGAGTTCCCTAACTTCAGATTTTCCCAGTGCAATGCGTCTCCTTATTTCCTTACTGCTGGTACCAAGGATTGTGGATCCAAGTAAGAAGTTGTTGACATGATAAACAAAAATTCTTAAGCACTTTGTATGATCCTGATGCATGGTGGCATTGAGAAGTGTTCCCTGGTTATATATCTCAGTGTTTTAGGATGTGTACTACCATAACGGAAAACTGTGTTCATATGTCATTGAGTTTTGTATTTGTGTATATAATAAATCATGCCTAAGTGAAAAAAAATAAAGTTAGACCAGACTTATGGATTTTCATGCTTCCCCCCAATTTCTTGGTTTTTTTTTTTCATTTAATGAAATAAATTTAAGACAAAACAAAGAAAAAAAAGCACCCTACATGAAACCCTGTCCTAAAAGAGCTGATTTGATTCATAGAGGGTGGGGAGCCAGAAGTCCTGTGAACCTAACCTTCTGGCTCAAACGTCTGTTCGCATTTGAAGAGTCTGAGCAACATGACTGAACTAGATTCCTGAAGGCCCTTCCAGGATGTAACGCTTTCCAATTCTTCTGTTAATACAGTATCCTGAGTAGAAACTCCTTTCTGTCTGAGGACTTAAGCAAAACTGACTATAAACTAGTATATTGCATGCCTATGTGTGAGATCTTATCAATGTAGGTGATAAGATAACATAAATACAGTCGCCTGCCTTCTAGAGATAGACTTGAAGAGGGAGGAGATTAACAACAAAGAAAGAAAAATGAGTATATTTGATTCCTCAAGGATTTAAAATGGTTTTTTTTATAAATTTACTTTTGTTACTTTTAAGATTATTATTATTATTATTAATAGGTAATATTAATGAAAAGTTTAGGTTGATAGCTGGGATGTTTAGCTCCTGACACCTCCAATTAATAAATCAGCTGTTTTGTATTTTAAAAAAATTATCACCAATTCATTGTTGCACATTGTCCTCCATCCCCTCCACAGTTCACTTAAAAAGAAATTAATTGTTGCACAGTTTCCTCCCTCTCCATTACTCCTCCCCAGTCCACTTTGCAATGAACCTCTTATTCTGACTGTTGTCACACAAATAATGCTTAATCGTAAATTCCTTTTAAACAATTTTTTCCTTCATCTGTTCTAATGCAGTGTTCATTATTTATCCCCTCTTTTCTTAGTTTCCCTCCTACTCCCATGGCAGTCCTGTTTTATAACAATGGTCTTATGCAGTATTTGTCCTTTTGTGACTGAGGTATTTCACTTACTGTAATGTCCTCCTGGGTCATCCATGTTGTATAATATTTTAGGAGTTTCTTGTTTTTCAGTGCTGTATAGTATTCCATTGTGTGAATATACTATACTTTTCCTATCCATTCATTTGTTGATGGGCACTTGGGTAACTTCCATATCTTTGCTATTGTGAATAATGTGGCAATAAACATGGCTGTTCATTTATCTGTCTGGGTAGCAGCTCTGGTTTCTTTAGTGTATATTCCTAGTAGTAGAATTGCTGGGTCAAATGGTATTTCTATTTCCAACTTTTTGAGACTGCTCCATACCACCTTCCATAGTGGTTGCACCATTTTACACTCCCACCAGCAGTGAATAACGGTTCTAATCTCGCCACAACCTTACCAGCATTTGTTGTTTGCTGTTCTGTTGAATTTTGGTATAGTTGTTTTAAATCAGCTGTTTTAGAAGAGAGTTGCATCTAGGAATTTTGTTTATTTGTTTGTTTGTTTGGCTTTAAACACATTTCATTTTTATTCCTTTAGTGATTTTTTTTTAAATAGGAGATTACATATGGTTTGTCGTTGTTGTCGTTATGTACCATTGAATTGGAACCAACTCATTGCTGACCCTCCAGTAAGTTTTCAGAGGCAGTAAATCTCGCAGGAGACTGCCTATCTTTCTCCTGCGGAGCAGCTGGAACCTTTGGGTTGGCAGACTAATTCCTTACCACTAAGGCACTAGAGCTCCCTGTAAGAAGGTGATTTTAAAACACAGAAATGCATTTTCTCACAGTTCTGGAGGCTAAAAAGTACAGGTACAAACCAAACTGAGCCCTGTTGACTTCTTCCATTTTGCTGTCGTCAGACATTGTTTGGTGAACCGTATGTGGCATCTGTGTATGCATGTGTGTCTTACCTGCCATAACCCAGCAGTGATTTAGAACCTGCCCTATTCAGGTATGATCTAGGTAACATAACAGAAAGGCCCCTTTTCTGAATAGGATTACATCCACAGACTGCAGGGGTAGGGATTCCAACACAGATTTTGAAGGAAAATAGTTCAGTATACTGTGTAAGGTAACGTACACGTTTCAGGTATAGCTGTCATTTTTAAAAGGTTATTTGTCAGCCTGCCATAACAGGTGAAACAAACAGTGTACTATACAGGCTTTTCTGAACCTTGCTTCTAGTAATGAAGAAATGGAATAACCTGTGCGTTGATTAATCAGAGCTTGCTTAAAAACAAAGCTACATCACTTTGTACATCACTCTTCGTCATTTTTCTGTACTGAGTTGAACTGGGTTTTCTCTGATGCTGAACCTTGTGCTATTGGGGTGTCAAATACCATAATGGTCCCCCAGTGTGGACAGTATTTGATGGAACACCCAGCTGTAAAACAGGTGTAGAAGCAGGTGTGGCATCCACTTTCCAAACCATGCCTATGGAAACTCTTATGAACTTGGAGAAGCTACAATAGTTACGGAAAGGCATTAGGTCTTTTGTTCATAGAGTCGCTATGAGCCATATTCAACTCGATGGCAATCAACAGCAGCCTCATCCATAGGCTAGAATAAGACGTAAAGAAGAATGAAGTGTATACACTGACATGGACCCATATTCAGTGTAGAGTACCAATCGAGTAAGTTGCAGAGGTGCCTGTAAATATGAAAATCTGGAAGGATACATGTTACTGAAGTGTGAGTCCTCTGTGAAGGGGCTGTGGAAGGCTTTTTAAATCGTGGTTTTTGTAATCTTGAAAGCTTTTAGTATCAAACATACACTGTTTAAGAAATCTAGAAGAAGGTGGAGGATTTTAATATTTCTTTTTTATGTGTGTATTTTCTAGATAGTAGACCCTACGTTAGCTGAAATGGGGAAGAACTTGAAGGAGGCGATGAAGATACTGGAGGACAGTGAGAGGTGAGCATGCCAGCAGAAGTGACCCTGTGAAACGTGTTCAACCTGTCCTGGAACAGGAAGCGCTGGCCGCCACCTGTAATGATACCTCTCGGTTTGGTTTCACAGTATCACGCTTTGCTCCTGGCCCACTTTAAAATTGTTGTTTGTCTCAGAAGGTGCTTTATAATTAAAGAGTTTTGAAACAAAAGGAAAGGATTTATTTCAGTCTGCCTATTGGGCATTTCATTTACTTAATATTGAATCTATAAATACTTCTTTTAAATTTCTTTTTATTCATTGTTACACATTTTCTCCCCCACCCCCACTTTCCCTCCTACAGCCCAGCGTGCAGTGCACCCCTTGTTCCAGATTGTTTTCATACATGTAATGCATAATCATACATTCCTTTTGGACACTTCTTCCCCTCATCTGTTCTAAAGCAGTGTTCATTATCTAGCCACTCTTTCCTCATTCCCTCCCCAACCCTATAAATACTTTTGATTGTATATTCAGGTCATGTGGTGCATTATCTAATTTAAAAAAGGCCTGCATCATTGTGTGTGTGTTTGTGGGGTGTGTGTGATTTCTTTTTCCTGAAATTCAAAACTATCTGGGCTGCTTGGAAGTTGGTAGTTTTGGGGACGGGAAATGGGTTTTGGGTCCTGAGTGAGTCACTAAAAAATTATTGAAGGGAGCTTTGGTGGCCTAGAGTCAAGAAGCTGATGCTGCAATCCCGAAGGCATGTGGTGTGAATCCACCAGTGCTCCGCTGGAGAAGGAGTTCCAGTCTCCTCCGGTACCAGTTGGATCTGACCTGATGGTATACAATAAGGGGGGGAAAAAGATTCTTGGTGGCAGTATTCTTGCATACTTGTATGCCCAGATGTTTTAAACTAAAAACGCAACTATTCATTTTATCATATCAAATTTCTGTTTCTTTCTGTTAGGAGAACAGAGGAGGAAAATGAAAAGCAGCCTGAATCAGATGACATCCCAGGACCACTCCAGGGCAGGTAAGTGACAGTGAGAAGAAGTCTGTAGCTTGGGTGTAAGTCAGAGTTTGCTATCATGGTTTCATCATTTTCAGTTAACACAAAGCATCTTTCAGTAGAGTCCTGTGCAGGGTAATAGGTGAACCCTGGAAGGCCGCCGGCTGACTGGCGCTCATGCTGAGCCTGCCACCCCCTCCTCCTTGGGCTGTTTACAGCAATCTTCATGACTCTAAAGCTCTGTCTGGGGGGAAAAAGACTCTTGAGTTTTTGGTTATCGCTGGCATAGTACATTCATGAAACCTGTAATCAATTTGGTAGACGGAGCTTTCTTGTAAAACATACTCTAATTTGATAAGATTTCTCATTTTTATAATGTAGTAGATATAAGGCAAATGTCACCATTAATCACATTATTGGCAAAGTGATTTATGTTTCCGCACTGGAAGCAAATCTGTCAAGTCCTGTGGTTTGAGCTAGCAGGGAAGAGATTAGGAAAAGATGAGCAGCTCTCTGACTACCATTTTCACAGGATGTTAGCACTCACTGTGTAATTAAAGCATCAGCCCAGCTTCCCGCAAGTAGCTTTTTACTTAAAACTAATCAGGAAGCTGCACCTAGGTAAATAGTACTTTCCGAAATTGTCATTTGACCTGAATATAAATAATGTACAGGTCACAAAGGATAAGTAGAGAGGAAGGACCACAGTGTGCTAACAGATGTCAAATCTGATGACACACCCAGTTACTAGTAGTTTTAAATATTGCAATATGAATGGTACTGACAGAAGCTCCAGAGTTAAGCTTAGGTGTGAAGTGCTTCCTACAACAAGATCCTTTTAAATCTTCTCATTCCAGACTTATTAATGGGAGCTCTTAGTGGTAAGGAGCTGTGCTGTCAACCCAAACGTACGTGATTCGAATCCACCAGCTGCCCCGCTGGAAAAGGATGAGCAGTCTCTTCTAATGCGATTCACTTCCCCTGAAAACCTGCTGGAGGGTCAGCTATGAGTTTGTTCCAACTTGATGGTGCACTACAATGGAAGGAATAAAAAGGCTGGAGGCTTATTAATTTCCACAGAAGTTTCTCTAGAAAAAATACTTGCTAGAACATTGGTAATTCAGAGTGACAGGCATTAAATTAAAGCCACCAGCTAGGAGTGTTCACACTTAGGAATACTAATTTTTTTAAACCCTCAAGCCCATTGCCATTGAGTCAGAACTGCCTCATAGCTGACCTTCCTGAGGGTTTTCCAAGTTGATAACTCGCACGGATGAGGCTGCCCATCTTTCTCCTGTGGAGCTGCTGGTGGCTTTGAACCACCATTGAGGTACCACAACTCCTTATGGCCAGCACCACCAGAGAATAATAATAACAACAACAATAATAATATTGGGGGTTTTTATTTTTCTGTACTATTGAGTCGGAACTGACCCATAACTGACCCTCCAGGCAGGTTTTCAGAGGCAGTTTAATCGCACGAGAGGAGATTGTCCATCCTTCTCCCGCAGATCAGCTCGTGGCCTCGAATCACATGCCTTCAGGATTAATTAGTCATGTACCAGGCAGATAGGATTTTAATTGGTTTTACATGTATTCTCATAGTAATGCTATAATGTCTCAGAAGTCTTAAGGACTTTAAACCGGCTTGTTCAGGGTCACCTGGCAAGGGCCCCAGTTTGTCCTGATCCCCACATAGTGCCCTGAACGGGAAAGCAGGTGTTTTGGGATTGTTTGAACAGTGTCTGTTTGAAACAAGGACCTTTGAAATTGCGCTGTTGTTGAGTACTAGTGAGTTGGAACCAGCTCATAGCTGGCCCTGCAGCAGATTTTCAGAAGGAAGTAGCTCAGCCTTCTCCCGTGGGAGATATTTACTGTGTTACACGTTGCCTTGCCATTACTTGCTTGCTTTCGCTATTCATATATTCATAGTTTTCTCATAATTTTTCACCTTTTATAAGTGAGCACAAATTAGCATTTTGGATTTAAAAAAATTTCTATTCTAAGCAAATCTCAAATTTCCTGCATGGAGGGTGAAGAGGTAGTAATAAATGATCCTTGCATTACATGTTTTAAGGTTGTTAATCTAAACAGACAAGATCCCTATGTCTAGTAAACTGGATATACTAACAGTATTGCAGTGTCGGGGGTTTTTCCTGACTTAGAAAAAAAATTTAATCAAATGAAAATCTCAATGCTTTTATGGTGGCATGTTTCTGGCATTTTTTTAAAATAAAATTTTATTTCAGTTGTTTTTGGTTTTTTTTTTTGTGTGTGTGTGTGTGTGTGTGAGCATACCGTCAAATCAGATCTGACTGGTACAGGAGGAGATTGTCCCTCTTTCCCCGGCAGAGCATCTGGTGGATTCGAACCGTGCGCCTCTTGGATTGTAGTTGCAGCTCCTTACCAGTAGGCCGCCTCTTGGATTGTAGTTGCAGCTCCTTGCCAGTAGGCCACCAGAGCTCCCCCTTCAGTTGTAATTTTAATGAACATTTACAGAGAAGTATTTTCATTCATTCATTGCTGTACATTTCCCACTTCCCCCTCTCCCAGTTCACTTAAAAAAAAATCATTCATTGTTGCATAATTACCTACCTCCCCTGCCTCTCCAGTCCTCTTTACAGTGATACATCTCTTCTTCTGGGCTGTTGCTGGACTTAAAATACCTAATCATATATTCATTTTAGGCAGTTCTTTCATCTGTTCCAATGCAGTGGTTTATCCACTCTTATCCTGATAATGTAGAAAAATACAATTAAAACAAAATTTGCCACTTTAACCATTTTAAGTGTAAAGTTCAGTCCCATTAATTACATTCATAGTGTTATGCAATGGTCACCCCTCTATCTCCAAAACCTTATTACCCTAAACAGAAACTCTGTACCCATTAAGCAACAACTGTTTCTTTCTCTCTCCCCCAACAACCTGGTAACCTGTCATCCACTGTGTTTCTGTTAATTTGCCTTTTGTAGTTTTTTCATGTAACTGAGATCATATGACATAGTCTTTTGTCTGACTTAGTTCACTCAGGAGAATGTTTTCAAGGTTCCCCTGTTTTGTAGTGTGCGTTGAAACACTCGTTCCTTTGGATGATGGATTACTGTTCCGTTGTGTGTGTAGCCACATTTTGTTTATCCATTCATCCACTGATGGGCACCTGGATTGTTTTGACCTTTTGGCTGTTACAAATAGTGGAGCATTCTAGTTGCTTCTGTGACGCTCCAGCATCTTATAAAGGCATTTAGCCCTCATAGCATGCTTACTAAATATTTTTCTCTGTTGTCCTCAGATCAATAGGTGTAGACAGATTGACAGAATAATGCTGATGAAACTTTAATGATCAAACTGATATTAAGACAGAATGTGTAATAGTTAGTATTCTCTTCTAAATTCAGTTCATAATTTGAGAATTGTTTTTAAAAAGATGTAAGCCATACCTCCAAACACATTTTCCCAGAACAACTGTGAGATAACATCTCACCCCAGTAAGAACAACAAAATTCAGCAGAGCAGCAAACAACCAATGCTGGTGAGGTTGCACAGAGACTGGAACCCTTACTTCTAGTGGGAGTGTAAAATGGTGCAACCACCATGGAAGGCAGTATGGCACTTTCTCAAAAAGTTGGAAATAGAAGCACCATTTGACCCAGCAATTCCACTACTGGGAATATACCCCAGAGAAACCGTAACTACCACCCAAGCAGATATATCCTCACTCATCTTTATTGTGGCTTTGTTCACAATAGCAAAGAGTTGGAAACAACCCAGTTGCCCATCAACAAATGATTGGATAGAGAAGCTTTGGTATATTCACATAATGGAATACTAAGCTGCATTGAAAAACAAAGAACTCATGAAATAGTATAAAAATGGGTGACCCGATGTGGGGAAAAAAAAAAAGAAAGAAAAAAGAAGGAAAAAGAAGAAAAAAAGAAAAAAAAAATGGGTGACCCTGGAGGACATTATGTTGAGTGACATATCTCAATCACAAAAGGACAAATACTGAATATTGCCACTGTTATGAAACAGGACTGACATCAGGTTTGAGGGGAAATTAAGAAAATGTACACTGCATTGAAACAGATGAGGGAAAACGGTTTAAAAGGGATATATAAAAAAATAATAAAAAGGATATATGATTAGGTATTATTTGCATGGCAAGAGTCCACAATAAGAACTGCATAGAACAGAGGGCTGGGGAGTGGGTGGGTGATTGTATAACAATGAATTTTTCTTTTCTTCTCAAAGAGAAATGCGAACTAGGGGGCGAGGAGTGGGCAAGGAGGAAAATGTGCAACAATGAATGAATGGAAATCCAAGTTCTCTATAATCTTTTATTAAAATCGCAATTAAGAAACGATGAAAAGGAAAAAAACCCAAACAACCCATTTTCTCCTGTAGTTACTACAAGCTTAGCCACCAGTTGTAGTTTTATGTACAATCAAGTAGGAACCAACTTGTAGCTCACCATCTGGCAGGATTTCAGTCAGTTAATCACAGGGGAGGAGATAGGCCATCTTTCTTCCACAGAGCAGCTGGTGGATTTGAACCGCATGCCTTCAGGATTGCAGTGCAGTTTCTTTCCGCATGCCTTCAGGATTGCAATGCAGTTTCTTTCCACAAGGCCACCAGAGCTCCATTTTTACAGATACTGTGATTAGGATTTCAAAATCTATTTCTAGGGTACACAGTTCAATACATAGCAAGCATGTATTACTTTTCATAAATGAATAAATAAATTTTTTTAAAATAAATTTTTAAAACTAAAAAAAAAAAAAACAACCCAAAACAAAAAAAAACTTTGCCAAAGCTAGTGTGTCTGAGGACAAAAGTGGGAGAGTCCTAGGGGTTGTGTGCTGTTGTTCCTAACCTGTCGGCTCTTCTTCTGCAGCGGACAGGATATGGTGAGCATCCTCCAGCTGGTTCAGAATCTGATGCATGGGGATGAAGACAAGGCGCCCCCAAGTTCCCGGTAACGGAAAGGGCTGGGGATTTCTCGTTGCGGGTAGATTGGCTCTTGCCTTTTGTTAGTGTTTGCATTCTTTCAAGTTGCTCAGGCAGTCCCTGTCTCATTGAAAGTTCCATGCACGATCCCAATTACACACCTGTTTCTTATCAAAGAGATAGTTAATGGGTTTAGAGAAGTTTCATAGCATGTATTTTATATATACTTTCTTTTTAGAAACATACTATTTTACTAAAACGAAATTCCGCTGTTTTGGGTTTTATTCTTTATATATATATAATTGTTGTTTGCTGTCAAGTTGGAACCTAATGACCCATTCGTAGCTGACCCTCCAGCAGGTTTTCAGAGGCAGTTAATCTGTCAAATTGGAGCCGACTCATAGCTGATCTTCCACTGGGTTTTCAGAGGTTGTAAATCACACAGGAGGAGAGTGTCCATCCCTTGGAGCTGCTGGTTGATTCAGACTGCTAGAGGACCACCACCCCCGGGTTAGCAGCACAGCCCCCTGTGCACTAGGTCGTCAGAGCTCCCTTATATATGCATTTTACAGACACGCATATGTAACAGTGTCTGCTTCCAGCACTGTGCACATTACTCTCTACCTTGCTTTTTTCGCTTCAGTTTTGGAGTTCATTGAATTTCAGCACAAAGGAACTTCTTTCTTTTTTTGAACTTCTTTCTTTGACAGCTATTTAGGTTTTCTTTCATGAACTGTGTTTTATTTAACTATTTTTTTTAATTAAAATTTTGCTGTTGCAAACATTGTGGCAGCCAGTAACTTTGTTTATGTGTCATTTCTCGTAATGGTAGTGTGTCTGTGGGGTTAAGTCCCAGAAGTGGGCTTACTGAGTCAGATAATAAGTACATTTGTAGTTGTGGTAGAGTCCCTCCATTGGAAATCGTCCCACCAGCAATGCTTGAGAGGACTGCTGTTGTCACACCTTGCCTGCACCTTACCAAACTTAAGAATCTTTGCCCAAATGACAGATGAGAAAGAGTATTTCAGCGTAGTTTTAATTTCGTTCTTACAGAGTTGAGCTTTTTTGTGTGTATGTAATTTTTAATACCTACTTCCTTCTTTGTGAACTGTGTTCCTCTTTATCCTTTTCAGGTTTTTGCCATTTCCATGATGGTTTAGTTATTCTTCCAAAGAAAAATTAAAATTAGTTCATCCATTTTAATTATAAAATGAATAAATACTTAAAAAACAACAGCCTCTTTCTCTTTGAATTGTATGTCTTACTGTTATAAATAGCTTTTTAATGGAGGAAATTACTCTTTATCCAGTGATTCTTTAAAAATTGTTTTGTACAGTTTATCTTAGTTCTCTTTTCCATAGGTTTTAAGACTGGCCTAATTTTCTTAAAATTAGAAAAGTATCCACAGAGTAGTTTGATTGTTTATTAGGTACTCATTAACACAACAAAAAGGCGTATTTGTCTCCCAGGACTCAGATTTTAAAATCATTTCCTCCCTAAGCAGTCAGTAATCTTTATATTCGTAGAGTTTCTAAAATTATCTGAATTTCTGCTTCTGGCTTATAAAGTACATTTTAAGTCTTAACATAAATTTCTTTGCAGTTCTGAGTATCTCCCGAATAAGCATACTTTGATGGTAATATATTTTTTTTTTATCTAATGAATTTTGATTAACAGAATCCAGAATATTGGCGAGCAAGCTCACATGGCTTTGTTGGGGCATAGTCTGGGAGCTTATATTTCTACTTTACACAAAGAGAAGCTGAGAAAACTTACAACTAGGATACTTTCAGATACAACCTTATGGCTCTGCAGAATTTTCAGGTAAAGTTATTAATGGCTCAAGTTTAAACTGTCATTCTTTTTACTAGATCTGCGATATTGAAGCTTACCTCTCCATATCTCTCTGTCCTCATTTATTAAATAGTGATTGCATTGGTATAATTTTCATGGAATTGTGACAGTTTATTTAATTTGAATGCTTCAGAGCCAAAACTGCTTAAAGCTGTGCCTGTGCTGCCAAGTGCTAACTGCCTTCTAAAATAAGCAAGAACCATGTTTTCAATCCTTGGACTTGAGGGAGTCACTCTCTTACTCATTTACATCACTTCACTTGGACATAGTTCAAGTTTGTCCTTTAAAATATTTTGCTGTCCTGAGTTGGCAAACCTCTGAGAGTTTCTTGATTCTATTCCCATTGTTGATCTTAGAGGCAATTTCTAGTATTAGAAAATAATTCTTTCTGTGATTTAAAGATTTGGGTATCAAATCTGAGTTAATAAGAAATAACATTTTTGTGTGGCTTTCTCTTAAAGGTATGAAAATGGCTGTGCTTATTTCCACGAAGAAGAAAGGGAAGGACTCGTAAAGATCTGTAGGCTTGCCTTTCATTCACGATACGAAGACTTTGTAGTGGATGGATTCAATGTGTTATATAACAAAAAACCCGTTATATATCTTAGTGCTGCTGCTAGACCCGGCCTGGGCCAATACCTTTGTAATCAGGTAATGTGGAATAAGATGGATATTTTCAAGAAACAGTGTTTAAGTTTGTTCTGAAACCTGCTGTTCTTTTTCAGTGAGTAAAATGATGGTTGTTACTCTTGTTTTGTCTTTATAAAATACGCAAAGGTAGAATAATGAATTTGGAAAGAAATGATTTGTGAATAATATCTATTTTTATAAGGTTTAAAGATAACCATATTCAACATTTTATTTTAGTTCTTCCCAGAATGTGTTAAAAGGGTTTATATATGGTCTTTGTATGGTTATAGCTGCTTTTTTTAACTTTCTGTTCCTAGCAGGAGCATATTATGTTCTAACAGTTCTTAAAAATATTCTTTCAAGTTATTATATAGTAATTAATTGTTTCCACTTTGGACAATTGAAGTGTTCAATTCTTTCCTTTTCTTTGACCGGTTTCAGATAATACTGTTTGTGTAGTGTGGTTATGAACATCTTTGTTAAAAGTTATTTATGTTTAGGGTTATATTCTTAGAGGAGGTTTTCAGAGTAATCTGGAGTTACTAGATCAAAGTATACTAGTATTTTTTAAAACTCATCTTTTTTGTTGTTGTTAATTTTTATTTTATTATTACTTTTTGTGTGTGTACTGTCAAATCAGATCTGACTGGTACAGGAGGAGATTTTTCCCTCCTTCTTCAGCAGAGCATCTGGTGGATTTGAACCGTGTACCTCTGGGATTGCAGTGCAGCTTCTTGCCACTAGGCCACCAGAGCTCCCTTAAAACTCATCATTTTTAAAGTAATGTATAGTCCAGTTGAGACTCTTCTTTGAGACGAATTGTTAAGCTTCTTGACCAAAAAATTTTTTAAAATATTTTAAACCCAGCAGGAGTGAGGTCTCAGTTTGTCTTTTATAATGGTGGACAAGCCCTGAGAGGTTGTGTGGGAAAAACTCAAGAAGACTTAAATTGATTCTGAGCTGTGATCACAGGTAGCAGGAAATCATGTTTTGTGCTTAAGGGTTACAAAGTGGAGAGTTTTTAGAATACTTCTATATTGTTGTTGTTATGTGTTGTCAGAACCAACCCAGCTGACCCACTAGCAGGTTTTCAGAGCTGTAACTTACATGAGCGATTGCCCATCTCTCTCCCATGAGATGGGCTGGTTCTGACCTGTGGCTTTGAGTGAGAGGACCCATTCATCTTTCAAACCCTTCAGCTGGTATTGTTTACCAGTGACTAGAAGAATCCTGAACAACATCCCAGAATCTGCAGATTTCAGTTATTTCTCTGTTGTGCAAAGGGGTTTTGGGTGAGGTTGGTATTTTGGGGGTTTTTGATATATTTTTGACTATGTCAAAGATTCTAATTTAGAAAATTTTACATGTTCTATACCCCTTATATGCCATCATAACTCTTGACAGTTCATCTTTTTCTAAAAAAAAAAAAACCTTTTCAATGTATTTTAATGTTCATTTGTAGTATTAAATATTTGTAAGGAGTGTGATTTAAAAAAAATAATAATAATACACCTTCTCAATGAGAAAGTGGTGACAAAGATCTGTCTTGAAAATTTGCATGTTTCCCCTTGCAGCTCGGCTTGCCCTTCCCGTGCTTGTGTCGTGTGCCCTGTAACACAGTGTTTGGATCTCAACATCAGATGGTGAGGCAGCTCTTCGGCTTATAAAATAATGTGGGCTTATGTTTTATACACCGTCGTCTTATTTACTGGACATGTTTTTTCTGGTCACCAAATCCATATACTTTTATTCCTTTATTGCTTAGGCCTTGTCTTTTGAGTAATAATACCTGCTTCTGTGCTTGAAAGTCTATGAATGTTGACTGGGGGGCTGTGTGTCAGGAGTATCTGACTTTCAGAGACCCTTTTATTTACCGTGTTGCCTTTTTTTTTACTGAAATATGGCAGTCAAATGAAGCACCTGCTTATCCTCCTAAAGCTCAAACTTTTAAATGGTTTACACTGTTGCCTGGGCTTGTGACGGAAAGTTTGAAAATGAGGTTCTTCACTATAAACTTGGAATTGACTTCAATTGTGTTTTAGATATATGAGTGATAAACCTTTGTCAGAAGCAAAAGGGATAGTTTTTAGGGCTCTACATTTCATCAGAATCAAAGTTCTGATTCAGGTACATCGTTGAGTAATATTAATGATGCATTCTTGGCTATCTTTTAGGGAGCAGGCCAAAAGAATATTTTCTGTTCGTATGAATATTTAAGACTAGAGATTTTTTTAAAAATCTTTTTATATGCAGTGTTTAACTTTAGTCTGGCTTACCCAGTTTTTTCAATTAATTTTCAAGGAAAAGTATTTGATTTTCTAACATCTGTAATGTAAGAAAACAAAAATTTCCAAGCATAAGAATTGGTTTGAGGTATTGACTTGGAGAGTCATCATGTTTTAAAGATCATAGGTTTCCATTATAACTTTTATGATGGTCACCTGATGTTTTTGCGATTTTTCTTTTGGTCCCAGGATGTTGCCTTCCTGGAGAAACTGATTAAAGAGGATTTAGAAAAAGGAAGACTGCCCCTCTTGCTTGTCGCAAGTGCTGGTAAGTATCAAGAATGAAACCTTCTCATTTTAAATATTTTCATGGATTGAATTGTGTCCTTCAAAAATAAGTATTGTACATCCTGGCCCCTGTGCACATGGTGAAAGTCCCATTTGGGAAAGGATTGTCTTTGTAACTGTTAATGAGATTAGTATAGGATACATCTTAAATTAGTCTCTTTTGAGATTGGTATTAGGATTAAATAAGCTAGTGAAAGAAGCAGAGATGGGGGAGATAGATGCCAAGCCACACACAGATCTTTAAGGAACTAAAATATAATCTGAAGGAGCAGGGACTTCCCTGAGCGGACAGAGAAAGCTTTTCTCTAGAGCCAGTGCCCTGAAATTGGGCTCCTGACTTCTTAAATTGTAAGAAAATAAATTTGTGTGTATTAAAGACATCTATTTATGATATTTCTGTTAGAGTAGCACTGAGTAACAAAGATCTGTAAGAGGGAAAGCCAGACCCTTAGTATTAAAAAGACTAGCTCTTAAGAAATATGTGTATATACATGCCTTATGTTTAAAGTTGTCTGAGCAAGCATTAAGGTTCCCTAGAAACACAGTAGCCTAGTGGTAAGAAGCTGTACTGCAAACCCAAAGGCACGTGGTTCAAATCCACAAGCTGCTCTGCCAAAGAAGGATGGGCAGTCTCCTCCCATGTGATGGACAGCCTCTGAAAACCTGCGAGAGAGCTAGTGAGGAGTAGAGCCCAACTGGAAAGGAGATTTGAGGGCAGTAGTCACCAGCACAGCACTTTATATCTTGTGCAAATCATATGAGACCACCCACCGATGAGTGTAATTTGAGATAGACTTAATGTGAGAGGGACTGAGAGTTTCCAGTCATTTTCTGGTATTTACTCCTCCCCAGTAGTTGTGTCAGTTGGTTTGTTGAGGCACTTGGTGAAGGTTTGGGAGCTCAGTAGCTGAGATTCTATGGACTGGACATTTAGAACGCAAGGAACATACCTAACTACAAGTATAAGGAGACACCATTGAAGGTGCAGCCACCAAATATGTAATGTAGACAGATTAGCAAGAGAATGTTTGAGGTGGTTAATATTGTTCAGCTCATGTCAATTCTGCTTAAAGATACAGGATGAGATGGGTTGGCACAGTGACTGTAATAGTGGACTTGAACATGACAGGGATTGTGAGGATGGTGTGGGATAGGGCAAGGTTGCCATCTGTTGTCCAGAGAGTTGCTGGAATCGTCATCAACTCTCTGGTCCCTAACAACAAAGAACTAATAAAGTGCAAGTGTATACTGACAAATTTACCATCTTGGCAGCAAGACTTAAAAGTATCTCAATCAACAGACCCAATAGGTGAAAAAGAAATAGATTTGATATACATACCTATGTTTAACAGGTTTTAAATAACACAGATAGCAAGCTTGGCATATATAACAGAGGGTACATACAGGTATCATAAACATGACGATAGTTGATTTTCAGTTAATCCAAAAGAAAAATGTCAGCAAAAAAGAAGTGTAATGGGGAAGGGGTGGGCAGGGAGGAAAGTGTGCAACAATGAATGAATGGAAGTCCAAAGTCTGTAAACTTTCATTAAAATAAAAAATTTTAAAAAAAGAAGTGTAACAAGTTATTTCTGTCATAGTGATAAGGGTAAAAGCTCTTATCCCGACATACCTGTTTGGTTTATTTGCTCTGTCCTAGGAACTGCAGCAGTTGGGCACACAGATAAGATTGGGCGTTTGAAAGAACTCTGTGAGCAGTACGGCCTGTGGCTTCATGTGGACGGGTAAGTAGTTGGGAAGTTTGGCTCTGTCTTGGGTGTGCACACGGCCCTCATGGCTGGTGGGTGTCTGACCTCTCATTTTGTGGTAATACGTATCACTGAGGGCTCTTTTGATTGCAGATAACAAAATAGCCAAAATTGGTGTGAACAAAAGGAGGTGATTGGGGTGGGGGGTAACTAGAAACTCCAGTGTTTAGATTGGCTGTGGCCACCCAGTCTCTCTCCCTTTTTTCTCTCTCTCCATCACTTGGCTCCGTTTCTTCTTTGTTTCCTGCACTTACAACCAGACTTTCCTGTCAATGCGTGCAAAGTAACTGTAGCAGCTCCAGGCTTTTTTCTAGACTCATACTCAGGGGCCCAGAAGTCTCAACAAGTTGTTTCCTACTGAATAAGGACTGGGTCAAGGAAATGTCATCTCCACGAATCTTCATAGTTTAGATCATTTGTCCATTCTGGAACAGGTGATAGTGTCTCCTGTGCCCAACGCTCATGGTCTCAGGATAGAGGAAATTGGGGTGGTTTCCCAGAAGGCAGTTGGCACTGTTAAAAGATGTGAGGAGAGGACACAGGTTAGCCCATAATATAGTCTACATCCACAGCATCGTGCAAGGTATGATCCTTTGAAAAAAAACAACAAAAAAACTATCTATCTGGAGAAGACTGGAAGCTGTACAACCATTATATGAAATAAATAGGAGACATCCTTTGAAACACATATAGGTTAAAATAGAGTTTCAAGGATTTCCTGAAATTTGTATAAACCCTATTTTGTTACTGTTCTAAACTTTCATAACACACCTGGAAGGCATTTAAATGTCAGCTTGTAACAGCCCAGCCATTTAAAAACAAAACAAACAAACTTGGTGAATAAGCAACAGTGAGTAATTTCTTCTCAGACTGGTGTTTTTTTCTTTCAGTGTGAATCTGGCAACATTGGCTCTAAGCTCTGCCTCGTCCTCAGTGCTGGTAGGTTGTTGATATAAACCAATATAAATGTTGGTATTTGTAAGGAGTCTTTGAACTCATGCAGACGCTGATGGCTTTTTACTGTTGAATGCTATGTGATCTCTCTCATGATTTAACAGAACATGGTTCTCCTTTTGGCAGGCTGCGACCAAATGTGACAGCATGACGCTCACTCCTGGCCCCTGGCTGGGTTTGCCAGCTGTGCCTGCAGTGACCCTCTACAAGCATGATGATCCCGCCCTGGTAAGCCTGCTCTCGCCAGGGTTGATGGGGTGGCAAATAACCGTACTGTGTTTGAAGGGGAAATACAGAAAAGCTGAGGAAGAAGTGAACATTGTCCTTCTTTCCTCTTTATTTACTCTTTGTTACGTGTCTGTGGCTCCTTCTAGTCATTCTGAGAAAATTGCTAACTTAAGTAAAGTTATACTGTCTCCTTTTTCTGCTTGGTCTCATTTTTCTCCCAGGTGTGTGAATAATTTTCATAATTCTTTTTATACTTTATTAATTTAAAACCCATTATGTATTCAAATTCATTAATAAAGGGGATAAGAAAGGATACAGAAGTGTTTACTCTCTTGCCATTATTCAGATAGGAAAGAGGACTTCTTCGTGTGAAATTCTTAGGGAAGTTGTCCATTTCCATGTTCCCTGTGTCTATTTTTTGGTGCCGAAACCCAGGAATGAACCACCCTGTGTCTATTTCTACAGGAGACCTTGAGCCCAACTTATTCCATAAAAGTAGAGATAATCTTGTAAGCAACAATTTGGCTTTGAGTAATAATAAAATTACCATAGTCTTTAGGACATAATTAAAGGTGTTCTGGTGGTGTGGTCCATGGTATGTTGCACTAATAATCAAAAGGCTGAACATCTATGCAGATTTTAATCTACCAGTGACTTTTCAGGGGACAGACAGGCAGTCTACTCTTCTTAGTTATATTTTTGGTTAAAGTTTACAAAGCAAGTTAGGTTCCATTTTGACAGTTTCCACATAAATTGTTCATTGACATTTGTTATATTTATCACAATATTTGTTCCTTTGGCCACACTCTTGTTTCTCGACCCTTTTATCTTTTCAGTTTATTATTTTTAAGTAGTTGTTGGCTTCTTGGCCTTCTGCTTGATATGAGGTTTTTCATTTTTTAAGTAAGACACTGCTCTTATAAATGCTGTCCTTTATTTTGTATACTCCTCCGCTATTTCCCTAAAGGGTGACAGCAGAATCGTTTTAGTTCAAGGTTTAAATGTTGTCTCAGGATGGTCCTTTCAGGGAGTCCCTTGGCCCTAGCTGGTCCAGTTAGTCTGCCCTCAATGTAATAGCACTCTGCGGCTTCCTCCCTAGGTCTCCCTTCTCCGTTCATCCTTCCTTCTTGCCCCTTCCAGAACTTTGCTTTTGGCAAATGTTGCCCTTTGGGTTTTGTGTGGTTGGCTGTTTGGGGTACATGCCTATCTACTATTGCTATTCACTTTATAGATCTGTTTTTTCACTAAAAGGTAATCTCTGGGTGGTGGGTTTGGTTCCAGACTTGAAGGATGTCTAAAGGCCACAGTTTCAGGGATTCCACCAGTCTCTGTCAGAGCAGTTAAGTCTTTTTATGATTGATTTATTTCACTTAGCGTATATGAGGGGTTTTGTGGATTCTTCGTTATTCTTTAATGTTGTGTACTACTCCACTGTGTGTGTGCACCATAGTTTATCCATTCCTCAAATAATGGGCACGTAAGTTGTTTCCATTGATGCCTCTGTTGTGAATAGCACTATGATGAGCAGGGGTGTGCATATATCTCTTTGTGTCCTGGCTTTTATTTCTCTAGGATATATATATAATAGTGAGATTCCCAGATCATATGGCATTTCTTTTTCCAACTTTGTAAGGAAAACATACCGCTTCCACAGTGGCTGTACATTTCATAGTTCCACTAGCCGTGGACAAGAATTCCATTCTCTCTAAACCCTTGGCAGCATTTGTTTTCTGTTTCTTGATCTTTGCTAGGAGGTTAAGCATGACCAGGTATTTAAGGACACTCCGTGCAACCCCGGAAGGGGCTGCCTCATCAATGACCAGGCGCTTCAGCCTGGAGCTGTGACTGGTCTGGGTTCTCACCCTGGCTTTGCCTGTCCTTCTTAGCTGTAAGCCCTTGGACAAAAAGAGGTTTCTGAGATAAGTCGCCTAGAACTTGACCTCTTAGAGTTATTTGATCCAATGAATAGTGCAAAGTGACTTTTATAGTATCGGTCATGTCCTCGTTGTGTGCTAATGGTAACTCATTAGTTCTGGTGCCTGCTTTCACTGGTTATGACTAATAAGCCCATTGTGGTTTTTTCAGACTTTAGTTGCTGGTCTTACATCAAACAAGCCATCAGATAAACTCCGTGCCCTGCCGCTGTGGTTATCGCTACAGTACTTGGGTCTCGATGGGATTGTAGAAAGAATAAAGCATGCCTGCCAACTGGTGAGTAGAAACCTGAAAGTTTAAATGAATCATAAGTATTCTGCAACAAAAACCAGAAGCCAAAAAGTACTTTGATTTCCGTACACACACATCACCTTCCAGTAGTCTCATTTGTCTGGGTTAATCCTCCCATCAGGAAGCAGATTGGTGCCCTATGTGTGTAAGTGTTGTGTAAGTGTCTGGATTGCATTTCTAGGGAACTGCTGGGATTGTCTCGGGATTTGTGTCCGGAATAGAATCAGGCTGAAATGAAAAGCATTCTAAGGTGTGGGCAGAAGTCACAAGCTGACTGCCAAGAAGCGGAGAAAGGTAGAAAAAGGGAGTAAATGTCCCATGTCACAGACTTCCTCATGATCATGGGGGTTAGATTTGTTTATTGATTGCATGTATAACCTTATCCTCAGTGGCTTGAGTTCTTACGTTGAAGGCTCTAAGGACATTTATAATCCTCTGTCCATTAATTTGAGGAGTGTTAATTGTGGAAAATACATTGTATTCTGGCCGTAGGAAAGAAAGCACGTGTATGTGTGTGTGTGTGTGTGTGTGTGTGTGTGTGTGTGTGTGTGTGTGTGTGTGTAGATAAAAGCAGCTTGAGCTCTAAGCCCTGTTAAGCTTAAAAGCCTGGTTTTATCTCTTTGTATCTCTGTTTTCTTATCTATAAAATGAGGGCATACAAATAAAAGATTGATATTAGGATTTAATGAGTTAGTATATATAAAACTTGCAGTAGAGCGTGAGCATACAGTAAAATATGCAAATAAGTTTAATACTAAATCTTTGTTTTACATTCTCTAGGAATTGGCTTTTTCTCAAGTCATTCCTTAACAAAACCAGTAATTTTTATATTACTCTAGCTGTAGTCCTTTGGATCATACCGCATTTACATCAGAAACTCATTTTAAGGTTTATACTTCTTGTGTTAAAAAAGCACTCCATTTAAAATAAGAAGAAAAACCAAAATTCTTGTTGTGCCATTAGCCCTTGTCTTGAGATTTGGTTCTTAAGAAAGGAGAAACCTTATCATTTCCATGGTAACGGAGTCAGCTTGGGGAAGGTGTGAGAACTCAAGGTATTGGGGGTGGCAGGGGGTGTTTGAACTCCCCTTCGCCTGTGGGATGAAGGAAAAGAATGCTGAGACTTATTTCTAAGCCCTGAGGTCACCCCAGCATCAGCACTTTCCCTTTAAGCAAAAGCGGTACCTTAAATAATGATCCTGTTGCTTATTCACTGCTGCTAAAAATAGGCACAAGTTAAACTGCGTGAACACTCTGCAGATGGGGTTGGTCCTGTGTATTCCTGCCTTATGTTTCCCACTATAGCATGGACTTCCTAAGAATGAAAGGCAGTGCCCTTCCGATCCTTGACCTCCTTGTGGCTTTCACCACACCATCCTCACGGGTAGCAGGGATGGAGCATTACCATGGTGCCAAGCATCGTCCTCTCATTTGATCTCCACAGCTTTACTCGATTGTAAGGTTCATTAGGAGAACAAACAGGTTCATCCTGGAGAGGGTGAAGCCATGCTGCTCCTTGGAGTCAAGGATTCTGAGACTTAGTCTGACATCCTTTGGACATGTTGCAAGGAGGGACCAGTCCTTGGAGAGGAACATCATGTTTGGGAGGGTGGAGAGACAGCGCAGGAGAGGAAGACCCTCAATGAGATGGATCGATTCAGTGATTGGGGTAATGGGAGTAGGTGTGTCGGAGACAGTGAGTTTGGCACAAGATAGAGCAGAATTTAGGGCTCTTGTACAAAGGGTCGCTATGAGTTGCAAGCAACTCGACAGCATATAACAACAAAACAAGGTTCATTAATACCAGCCCACTTAAAAGTCATTGCCACAATTGTCCATTCAGTGTACAACGCTCAATCTTTTGAGTTAATGAATCCCAATCCTATGAGGTAGATACTCTTATTCTCCCCACATTGAGGATTTAATGATTTAACTGGAATTGAGGGTGTGAGAGGACAGCAGTGTTGGCAGTGATGTTGCTGCAGCTGCTGATGGTGGTAGCTTACTGTGCTTTAAGTTCCGTTTCAAAGTATTTCATGAAGATCAGTCAACTCTTTGAGTATTTACACCATTTTACAGTTGAGGCAACTAAAGCATGGAGAAACTAGATAACTTCCTAAGATTGTAGTCTGCACTGTGGATTGAAGCTCATATGAGATTGAACGTTCTCACCACTGGACCAGTTGGCAGCACCATATAGATAGAGATATTGTTAACAGTTTCAGCTTGCTCAGCTCCACAATCAACATGCTTGGCACCAGCAGTCAGGAAATCAAAAGACAAATTGCTCTAGGAAAATCTAATGTCAGGGACCGCCCCAGTATGCTAAAGAGCAATGATGTCAATCTAGAGACTAAGGTGTGCCTGATCCAGGCAGTGGTCTTCTCAGTTATTTGCTATGCATCAATGACCAAAGATGATAGAAGAAGAATTGATGCCTTTGACTTGTGGTGCTGGAAAAAAGTATTGAATGTACCGTGTACTGCCAACAGAACAAACAGATCTGTCCTAGGGTCAAACCAAGCTGCTCCTTGCAGGCAAGGATTTTTGAGGCTCCATCTCCATACGTTGGTCATGTTGCCAAGAGGGACAAGTCCTTGGAGAAGGGCGTCATGCTTGGAAGGGTGGGGGGACAGCACAGGAGAGGAAGACCCTGGAATAAGAACTGACACACTAACTGGGATAATGAGGGCAGGTGTGTCAAAGGCGCTGAGAATGGCTCAGGATAGAGCAGAGTGCAGAGCTGTTGTGTATAGGGTCTCTGTGAGTTGGAGTCAACTCGACAGCACATAATAACAACAAAGGTTGGAGTGAGTTAGTCGCTGATGAAGTCATTTATCTAATAGATGGTAAGATGGCAGAGCCAGGTTTTGAATCCGGCCATGATTGACTCCAGGCCCGTGATCTTAATCATTCCATTGTGCTCTCTCATTTATCTTTGACCCCTTTTACTCAGTAATGTGCACTGCACACCTTTGCACCCTGTGGGTTTTCAGTGAATGACTTACTTATATTGCTAATCTGACATTCATTTATGTCTTAGGGAAGATTTTCTTGAATCATTAAATGTAGCTTTTAACTGAAGGTTGAAAATTGTGTGCAGAGGTTGAAAGACTGAAATTGGCATTCATCTTCCTAAGCTGCCTGTTTGTGGATCTGCAAAGACCCTCATGAAAGTAATTTTTTTTTATTTTTATGTCAGTTTAATGAAATAATAAACTCTATAAAATGTACCAAAATAATGTTATAGAACAGAGTTCAGGTCTTTTGTGCAAAGCTTACTCTGAGTCGTATTCAACTCAATTCATTTAACCACTGCTAAATAAGACTAGGGCTATTATATCTGGAGGAACACTCTTCCACTTTGCACATCACTCTTTGTTAATGTGCTGTATGAGGTAACCTGGGTTTGCTGTGATACTGAACCTTGTGCCACTGGGGTATCAAGTACTATAATGGTTTCCCATTGGACAGTGTTTGGTGAAGGTCCAGTTGTAAAACAGATTTGGAAGCAGGAGTGGCATCCACTTCCTAAACCACATGCTTCTGGAAACTCTGAATTTGGAGAAATTACTATAGTTACGGAAAGGCATTAGGGGTTTTTTATTCATAGAGTCGCTGTGAGTTGTACTTGACTTGATGGCAATCAACAACAACAACAAAATGAAATAATAGAAACTCTTTCTTGTCATCTGCAGAGTCAGCGGTTGCAGGAAAATTTGAAGAAAGTGGACCACATCAAAATCTTGGTATAGTATCTGACTTCATCATTTAAATAAATCATTTTTCACCTTCCACAACTAAGAATGAGTTTCTTTAGATTTGAAGAATGGTTTTCTTCAGATTTTCTGTATTTACAGGAAATGAAGTAAAACAAACCAGTAATACCACATTCTGAGGAAAAAGAATCATTTGTGTTTTCATAACTTCACTATTCGTTTAGCCTAAACCCAAAAATCTATACTGTGTGATGTCTGAACTCCTACAGTGCTTTTCATAGACACTATTTAGAGTTTTATTTCATTCCTAATTTGAAACTGCACAAAGATCTCAACACCATTGATTTCACCTACCCAGGGGCATAAAACACCTATCTTCTAGGAATGAAAAATTATTTTGTTTCTACTCAATATTCATAATAAAATGTTTTCTGTTTTGCGAACCAGAGTTTTCATCTACATGGGCAGAATAAGGAAGGAAAAAGCAAGCATCTCTGTCCTTGTCTTCCCCAGCTGTCTTCATAAAGTGACTCTGTTAGAGGTGCTCTCCCAGGGAGAGAACATAGACAAGTGCCAACAGTAGAGAGAAGTTCAAGTTTGAATGCTTTCCTGCTTTGTTCTTGTATTATTTTTTTTAATTTCTGGAAAGATAGTGTTAGGATTTTATTTATTTTAGGTCTGGACTTTAGGAATTTGAGTTTGTAAGCCTTTTAGTCCAATCAACCACTCCCAGAAGAGGTTTGGCTGTGTGTAGGAGGCGCCAGACCTGTACCCTCGGTCTGTGCCCTGGGGTTTGCCGTATATGCGGCTGTTTGTGCCACGCGCACAAGCATGTGGATCCATACCCCTGCAGATACACGTGCACGTGTGTTTACTCACATGGGCCTTCTTGTGCAAATACATGCATCCATATCTAGCTGTAACCACACACGGGTTTTTTATTGTCATTCCTGTTGTTTCCAAGTTGTACATAGTCTGACATTTCCTGAAGTTGTCCCTGTCTCTTGTGTACTGCCTAGTGGAGCACTCCTGCTCTGGCCCATAGGACCACGGTCTGTTGGAATCGACTCCAGCAGGGGTTACAGCAGGGGTTATAGTTTTTGGTTTGTCTCATATGATGGATTTTTGTTTGTTTTTATTTCAATTTAATTTTCTCCCCTTGTTGTGTACCGCCAAATCAGATCTGACTGGCACAGGAGGAGATTTTTTCCTCCTTCTTTTGTGGAACATCTGATGGATTCAAACTGTGCGCCTTTGGGATTGCAGCACAGCCTCTTGCCACTAGACCGTCAGAGCTCCCTTCTTAGGATGGATTTTGACTTAAAGTCTGTTTTATCACAGTTTGTTACTGCCATTCCCTCTCTTCTGGCTACTGTTTGCTTAACATTTCCCCATACTTTGATTTTTAGCCTATTTATAGTTTTGTGTCCAAGCTATGGCTCTTGTAGGCAACATTTTGATGGAGTATGGTTTTTGTTCTTGTTTTTTTGTCCATTCTGTCTCTGTGTCCCTTGACAGGTATATTGGCACCGTTTCCACTCAGTATCAGTAGATCTGCATTTATTGCTGATGTTATAAATGCTTCGTGCGTGTGTGTGTGATTTTAATGGTTTCATTGTTCTGCTTAGTTTTCTGTGCTAGCTTCTTTGTGTTTGTGAATTTTATTTTCTATTGTCTTTATTTCAGTGAGGAGATAGACTGTATCTCTCTGTGGTAACCATTGCTTGATGGCTTTCCATCCTTTGTTTATCTAAACATGGCTATAATAGCTGTTTATGATAACACAGACTTCTGGGCTAGTATCCCACTTTTGAGAGGCATCACTGGTTCTCTGTTTTGTCTTCTGACACCAGCTCCTTTTGTCTTACAGTTTTTTCTCATATTTTTTTTTCCCTTGAGGGAATTATGTGCAGCCTGAGTTAGAGTTAAGAGCTTTGCATTTGTTCCTGCCAAGTGGTTCAGGAGTTTAATTGAACGGGGTCCATTTCTTCGTGTTCATTCCTTGGCTTTGGGAGTCTTTCACCACACAATCAACCCAAGGTGTAGGCTACACCTGACATTCTGATTCCTTGGGAGAGAATGGTTTTGCTTTTGCCCTGTACAGGTACAGTTCAGTTTTTGGGGTGGTTTGTTTTTGTGGTTTTTTTTTCCCAAGGCCATGGTTGCAGTTATTCCATCTCTCCTTTCATAAAATACATTCTTCGAGGTTCTTGGCTCTATGCAGGATGTTCTGGACACCTTTTTGTTGTGTTTTGTGTGTATTTTCTTTTCTTTTTTTTTTTTTTGCAACACCTGTTTTGGTCCCAGGGCTTTATCTTCTTTTCACTCCCTGCTCTCACTCCCCTCCTCCCCTTTCTTGTGTATTGTCAAATCTGATCTGACTGTCACAGGAGGAGATACCCCTTCCTTCTCCAGCAGAGCATCTGGTGGATTCGAACTGCACACCTTTGTGATTGAAGGACAGCTTATTTACCACTAGACCACCAGATCTCCCTCCCTGATCTCACTTCAAACCCAAGTCACTAGGCTTTGAAGGGCCAGCTCCAGGCCCCACTCATGCTTACTTCCACTTAACCAACGCCTGCAGCTGAGCTTGCACGTGGCCTGGTTTTCCCTGTGCTTTACCTTCATTTCTGTGAGCACAGCAACAATTTAGACTTTTTCTGCTTTGGGGTTATTTTTAATCCAGCATGTCAGATATTTAGAGTTGATAACTTCGCTGTGAACTCAAGTCTCCTATGGCCTAGCATCTCTGTATAGCACCCTGGTATTACTATTTCTGACGGTACCCTGGTGGTGTGACAGCCACTTAAGTGTTAATCAAAACCCTGATGGGTTGTGTCTACCCAGCTGTCCAGCAGGAGAAAGACGTGGTGATCGGCTCTTGTAATGATTATAGTCCACAGGCCCTCCGGGGCAGTTCTGCTGTGAGCAGAAAATGGACTCTTTGGCACCTGACAACAACAGTGTTCATACTGCTGACGTTGTGAGACCACTGAGCTCAGAGAAAGGAGAAAAAAGGCAGTCTGTAAATAGACGTCTTGACACTTAGGTCATTCTGACTTACCCTGAGGATGAGGAAAGGAGGAGAGATTCTAGAGCCTTTCCCACCCTGCTTCCTACTTGCTTTTTGGCCTTATTTCATTCTATTTCAGTATTATAACTGTAACTAAAACCACTCACAGGTTTGTTTATGGAGACATTTAAGGCAGTAAGTGTAAGTCTTGCCTGGGATGAGCCAAAGGCACCCTGTCCTTGGAAAGGCTGGTGGGGAAGATCCTGGGCTGCTTCCTGTCTTTCCAAGTTAGCTTCCCTGTTGTTGCCCTGCGGATGAGTCATCATGCTCAGAGCCGCAGAACGGCCTTGGGTTTGTGACTGGAATGAATAATAACTAAAGTGGTTCACTGCTCAGAGGTCTACTTCCTAAAATGCACCTAAAGAAAAAATTAACACACACACATTTCAAGGACATTACTGTTCTTTTTGTGTCCCACCTCCATGGCGGAGCTGACAGCTGTTGATACATTTGTTCAGCAGAGAGCTTGATCTTTTCTGATTTAATGTTGGTTTGCTTATAAAGTTCATATACATTGTGTTCTACACTAGCCTTCATCCTCATTGTGTTTCATACAATCATTCCCATTCATTGTGTTTATAAAATTAACAGTGAACTCTACCCACCATTGCCCTGTCTTTCCAGATCCCTGCCAGATCTTTCCCATTTCCTTTACCCACCCACCAAATTGTGTGACCCTATGATTTCCCCCTGCCCGTCCTCACCCCTTCGCTCCCAACCTCCCACACTGGATCCTCATACATGTTGTACTCGTTATCTGTTTCTACAATAAAGGTCTAATGCAGTGTGTGTCCTTATGAGACTGAGTTAGTTCACTCAGCATAATGCTCTCCAGTCCCTCCCAAGTTATGTAGTAATTTTTTAAAATCATTGTTCCTTTGCAATAGTATTCCATTTTGTGGAGTATTCCATTGTGTGAATGTACCACAATTTCTCAATCCATTAGATTGTGGTTGGACATTTGGGCTGTTGCCATGTTCTTGTGATGGTGAATAATGCTGCTGTCAACGTTGGTGTACAAATCTTTGTGTCTCAGTTCTAATTATTAAGGGGTATATTCCAAGCAGTGGAATAGCTGGGTCATAGGGAATTTCAGTGTTCAGCTTTTTTCCCCCCTATGTTCAGTTTTTTGAGGAAATGCCAAACTGCCTTCCAGAGTGGTTATACCCTTTTACAATTCCACCAACAGTACATGCAAGTTCCTGTCTCTCCATATCCTCACCAACATTTATTGCTTGCTGCCCTGCAAAACTTTACCACTGCTACTGGGATGAGGGATCTCATTGTGGTTTTAATTTGCATCTCTCATTGCCTGTGATTTTGGTGCCCAGTGATCTTCATGCAATAAACATTCTCATCTGCTTAGGAAGCTCATTAAGGAAGTGACTGGTCCGATGCCCGTCTTGAACGCAGTGACTTAGAAAATAACTCAGATTCCCTTCTAGACTGCGGTTGTCTACGCTAGCAGCAGGATGCACACCCTGTGTGCTTTATGAGAGGATAGCACTTGGTTGTGAGTGGTGAAGGTCCCAGTCAATCCTTGAATCAGCAGCATTTCTGGGAGAGAATGTTGGCTCTCTTTAACACCTATTTGCCCTTTTCCTTTTTGTCTGAGCAGTGTACATTGTGATTGGGTGCCACTGAGTCACTTCAAGTCAGAAGGACCCATGTGACTGATAGAACCGCCCCATAGCGTTCCCTGGTGTGGTCATTCGTATGGGAACAGATGACCTGATTTTTCAGAGACACTGGATGGATTCAACCAACCAACCTGTGGGTTTCAGCCCAACAAGTCCCATTATAATTAAAATTTCTTTCTGGTTTCAGTGTGCCAGCATAAATTTCTAAATTGATCTTAAAATTCAACCGTATGTTGTTGGGACTGGTTCACAGGTCTTTTTTAGGCATTTACTAATTTTTTAATTTAGTTTTCTCCCGTAGCTGAAATGAACCATTAGATTTATTGATTTATTTTACATACTCTTTAATGAAATTATGTCATCTGCTTTTCAGACTCACTGGGTGGGGAATTGGCAAGTGTTTCATGTTAATGGCAGGTTCCGTTTTTCAGGTGGAAGAAGAGCTCAATTCCCCAGTGGTGGTGTTCAAATTTTTCCAGGAATTACCAAATTTAGGTAAGTGATTTTAAAAACTAAAGGCTTTGAATTTTAAGAAATCTTCAGTTAGATAGCACAGAATGTTTTTATTACCATAGTTGTCAGTCATCATAAGAACTCCAGCCCTAAAGCTTTCATATTTTACTGATACTCTTCTGTGACTCAGTCAGTTCTTCCCAGTGGCCCTACTCCTCAGAGGTTTTCATTCAGTAGACGAGACCCAGGAATCTCTAGTTTAAAGGAATGTTTCAGATGCCACCAGCCTCGTCTACACCACCATTATTTTTTCACTCCACATACCCTCATCCCAGCCATTCTCCGGAGGGTCAAATGAAAATCAAGTAGTGTCAGTTCCCTGTTTAATAACAGCTCACATCTCACTCTCTTGGCCAGGTCCAGGTTCGTAACCACCCCCCGTAAAGCACGCGTGTTCTAGCCTTGCCTTCTCTGGTGCCATCTTTGGTCATTTCCCACCTGGTCGCAGGGCTGTAGGCAGCCGATCTGTGAGCTCCTGGAATACGCCTTATTCTTTGCTGGTGAAAGGCCTTTGTACCTGCGCTTCTGTTTGCCTCACCTGTAGTCCCCTACCTCTCCTTACAGCGAGTTCCTTCTCAGCATTTCAGTCTTAACAAAAATGTCCACCAGCTGTCAGTCATGTCTGAAATGACTCCGTCAGAGTCCCTACCTTCTTTCATGCCACTAACAGTTCAGAATGATTTTATTTCTCTTTATGGTCTGTTTCTTCAACTCAGATATAAACTCTGAGATGACTAGGACTTAGATGTAAACTCTAAGGTGACTAGAATTTTATCTTAGTTACTGTCAGTCCCGAGAGCTCAGAACATTAAGCAAAGCACCTAAGCTGTTGAGTGCTGTTGGATGCTCTGATCTACCTAGCATGGTGCTGGTTAATTAAAGTTACTCACATAACAACTTTACCCTTTGATTTATTCTGGAAATCCCTTGAAGGAAACTTTCTTCTTGAAAGATAAAAATAAGACTGTTTTCTCTGCAGATATATTCACATGTTAGGGTTCCTTGGGGGATGAAAGTGGAAAATGCTAGGCCAGTCAGATGCGTATGTGATTTTGGTAACACTTGAGAATATTCCCTTGGGCTAATGGTAGGATTTAAGGGAAGTGGTGCCGGGCGTTTGTTTTCTGTCCTGTACCGTGGGAGTGACTCTGCTTTGTTTGTTCCAGGGTCAAATCCAGGGCTCACAGCTGCGCTCGGGCCCAATGTGGCACCTTCGGCAGCCGGCCAGGAGAGGCACTCCTGTAATGCACTGAATCGCTGGGTGAGGATGGCTGTGCTCAACCTTTTTCTTTCTTTCCTTCCCCCCCACCCCTTTTAAACATCCAGAGCATTGTCACCTCATCATCAGAACCAGGGTTTTGGATAAAGTATAATCATGTGTAGGAAATCAGGAGGCACCTGCGAAGGTGCTGAACTCGGGTGTCCCTCTGTAGGTCTCTCCCTTGTGTGACTCCTGACAAGTCCTTTCACTTTGCCGAGGTGGCCATTCCCTTACTGCTCTGTGAGACTGTGAAACAACACTTAAAGTGATTACTACGTTGCACATGCTTTGGCTGTTCTGGTATCAGAAGGCACCCAAGTCCAAGTCGTGTCCTGAACTCAGCCTCTGTCAGCCTGCAGTGTGGATCAGAGGCTGCGTAAAAATCACTCTTGATGCCAGAATTTTGCCCGGGGGATGCTAGCCTAAAGAATCATGTTGTGCGTGTGCTGTCAAGACTAAATTGATGCAAAGCTGACTCTCTGGTGGGATTTTAGAGGCAGTAAATCACTCGTGAGGAGAGTGCCCACCCTTCTCCCACCAAGCAGCTGGTGGATTCAAACCACCTGCCTTTGGATTTGCAACACCACTTCTTACCACTCAGCAGCCAGAGTTCCCTCGGACTCCTGTGATTAATTCTTTAAGCATCAGTGTGAAATTTATAAACACTTTTGGCATTCCCAACCCAGGGGACTAGTTGGATAAGTTACATGTATCTGTACACTAGAGTCCAAAGCAGTCATTCAGAAACATGCAGCAGAAGGTAACAGTCATTATAAATGACATGAAAAATGCAGCTATTTCGACAGTGGGTAGAATTTCCCTTTTTTTCTCAATTTTTTTTATTATTATTTATTTTAATGAAAATTTACAGAGTTTGGATTTCCATTCATTCATTGTTGCACTTTTCTCCCTGCCCATCTCTCCCCTCCAGTTCATTCTTCTTTGAAAAGTAAAAGAAAAATTCTTTCATTGTTATACAGTCCCTCCCAAATTTCCCATTTTAAAACAATAAAATGTACACATACGCACAAGTGTGCACACACACACACACACACCCACACCCCTCTGCCCTGTTCCCACAGAGGGAAGAGACTCCAGTGGAAGGTGCCAGAATGCCACAGTGGAAATTCCCAAGTCTTGTAATATGGATAATTTTTATTTTATTATTTGGGTTTCTCTGAATTGCCCTGATTTTTCTACAGTGAATGTTCCTATTTCCTTTTGTTAAAAAAAAAAATTTTTTTAAAAAAAATACTGTTTTAAAACAAGTAGAAACAATTGTCCTAAATCTCCAAAGAGGCTCACAAGGTGAAAGCAAAGCCTCAATGCTTTTGGTCGGGAGCTGTGTGGCCACGGTCAGGTTTGGATCTCCTGGGACTGTGGAGTGCTGAACTTGCCCCCTGCCCATTCTCTGCAGCTGGGAGAGCAGCTCAAGCAGCTGGTGCCTGAGAGCGGCCTCACCATCATGGACCTGGAGGCCGAGGGCACGTGCGTGCGCTTCAGCCCTCTGATGACGGCGGCAGGTACTGGTCTCGCTGGGTTTCCTTTCCTTTGGGGCTCTTATGTTTTGGTGAAGAATAATGGCGGGTCTCACTCTAAATCAGAGCTCAGGCTGCTGGGGTTAGTAAGCTTCCTCTGAGTATTTTCTTCTCCTGTAGTCAAGAAATTAAAAGACAAATTGTGTTGGAAAAGTCTGCTGTCAGAGACCTCTCCAAAGTCCTGAAGAGCAACCATGTCAACCTGGAGACTAAGGTGTGCCTGATGCAGGCCATGGTCTTTGCAGTTACTTGTTATGCATCAGAGAGCTGGACAGTGACTAGGGATGATAGAAGGAGAATTGATGCCTTTGAGTTGTGGTGCTGGGAAAGATTATTGAATATACCAGAGATGGCTAGAAAACAAATAGGTTTTTTCTGGAGAGTGTGAGACCAGGCTGCTCCTTGGAGGCAAGGATTCTGAAGCTTCGTCTGACATGCTTTGGACATGTTGCAAGGAGGGATCAGTCCTTGGAGAAAGACGTCATGCTTGGGAGGGTGGAGGGACAGCGCAGGAGAAGAAGACCCTCTGTGAGGTGGATTGCACAGTATAGAGCAGGATATTGGGCTGTTTGTACATGAGTCGCAAGCAACTTGATGGCACATAACAACATAGTCAAGTTTGTCCTACCTAATACACAAGATAGGCACGGCTTACTTACTAATCTGCAGTGAGCAGTTTCACATTTTCCCACCACATCAGAGTCTGCTTCTAGAAGGAGCTCTGGTGGCCTAGTGGTAAAAAGCTGCGCTACAATCCTAAAACCACACAGTTCAAATCCACCAGCTGCTTCTTGGGAGACAGATGGGCAGTCTCTTCCTGTACAATTAACAGCCTCTGAAAACCTGCTGGAGGTTCAGCTCTGGGTCGGTTCTGACTTGATGGTAAACAACAACAGAGTCTGCTTCTAGGTATGGCTGGTACCTATCTCTTGCTCAGTCCCATAGCACCTTCCTGCAGAGTCAGAGCATAACAGGGATGTTGGTGTTGTTGTTATGTGCCAAGATTGCCTGACAGCTGACACTGCAACAGCCTGTAAATTTCATAGGAGGAGATTGCCCATCTTTCTCCTGCAGCACTGCTGGTGGATTCGAACCACCTGCCTTTGGGTTGCCAGTGCAACTCTTTATCCACTCGAATACGAAGGAAGGATGGAAGGCCTGCTAGGCAACATAAGCACAGACTTGTACTGAGTTACTTATCTGTGGTGAAGTGACTTAAGTATTTGCCCACATGATATCAGAGATGTGATGGGACCCATGTGAACGTCACTTCATGTGTCAGTAAGCACACACAAGTCCTAAACTCGTGCTTGCCTTGCTTCTGGGCACTCTGCCCCACCTCCATATCTCCACCAGCATCTCTTTTTAGAGAGACTCTCCCTTTCCTTTGGCACTGAGCTTAGGTAGACTTTCCTGCTAACGTAACTTCTCGGGATCGGAATCACACTTTGGAGGCCTTTGGAATTCCTGTGTTTTGGTAACTTGTGACCCTCGCTTTTCTCTCCCGACGGGTCTCAGTGCTGACCACACCTGTGGAGCGTTAGAAGCTGTCTGCCTGGGCTCTTTCTATAGACATTCCGATTTCATTTATCTGGGGTAGAGCCTGGGCATCTGAAGTTTTCAAAACCTTATGGGTGATTCTAATAGGTCAGAAAAGTTTGAGAAACAGGTTACTTGGGCTTTTAGAATTGAAGTGCCTGCATGCATGTCCCCACTCAGTCACTTCGTAACCAGACCTCCTCTCTGCGGGTTCTTAATCTCCAGAGACATTCCACACATTTTTTTTAAAAAAAAAAGGAAGTTACTAAGACTTCATGGCTCTCCTAGCTTAGTGGTAAGGAACTGTGCTGCCAACCCAAAGGCACTCAGTTCGAATCCACCAGCTGCTGTGCTGGGGAAAGATGGACAGTCTCCTCCTGTGTGATTTATTGTATCTGAAAACCTGCTGGAGGGTCAGCTATGTTGTTGGTTCTGACCGATGGTATTCAGCAGCCAGTAAGACTTGATGGTTGAGTTGGAACCAGCTGGGAGTTGATCCTCCAGCTGGTTCTGAGGCTGTAAACGACACAGGAAGAGAATGCCCATCTTCTGTCTGGTAGCAGCTGGTGGAGTCACAGCACCAGAGAGGCCTGGCCTGCGGGCCAGCAGTGCAGCTCCCTGTGGACCACTCCAGAGAGCTCCCTCAGACTTCATGGTAGCAATGTGAAGGTGAAAAGGACATCCCACACATGCTGGCCCTTAGAGCTTAGCACGTCCTAGGCCCTTACCTGTATGCTGAAAAGAGAATCGTGGTTGTGCTTTTTTGTGAGATGATGGAAAGCTTTTCAGAAAATGTTTGCTGGTGCTTTTGACATTTTGGAGGAGGAAATAATTTCTTTTTCTCAATGACCTCAGAGTAGGAAAACAAGGTCTTACTCATTTGCTCTGCAAAGAAAAAGTGCTCATCCTAAGATTGTTGGTGGTCCCAGAGGGGCTTCTGGTCTCTGCTCCTGCTGTGAGTGTGGTTGGACCTTCCCTGCCTCTCCCACAGCCTCGTCTCTAATGGAGAACCCCGTTGATCCTTGAGAACATCACTCACAGCATCCCCGGTGGTGAAAGCGAGGGAGTAGCCATGCTGCCACCCTTTGTGGGTCCCTGAAGCTCCAAGAGTTCCCAGGCTCTGACATGCAGAAATGGACAGTGGGCATATGTGCTCCGTCCCTCCTCTCCTCCTGCCACAAACCCCCTTTTCCAGTCATTTTAACTGAGAACCATTTGGTTGCCTTTTGTGTGTGTATCCTGTGTCATGATGCTTATTAACTTGGTTGAAGCAGCTTGCTTTTTATGAGAAGAGATTTTGTCAGGAAACCAAAGTGCTTCATTGCTTATTAAGGTCAGAAGGGCCAATCCTGTCTTCTGTGTGAGAAACGTATGCCAGAAGCAGCCTGCTTTTTCTGTTTAAGCTCTCCAGATCCAGCTAATTGGATGCTTTTAGAACCTCTGGCCTTTCCGCTAGTGGAAGTGGAAGCTCTGTCCCCTCACCTTTTCCTGTCTTTCCTTCAGCACTTCTCCTCACGGTCTGTGAACACTGTCAGTTTTAGGAACTCGGATCGAGGACGTGGATCAGCTCGCTGCCTGCATAAAGAGCAAGCTGCCAGTCCTGACCTGTACCCTGCAGCTGAGGGAAGAGTTCAAGCAGGAAGTGGCAGCCACGGCAGGCCTCTTGCATGTGGACGACCCTAACTGGCCTGGAATCGGGGTTGTCAGGTAGAGTCCTCACGTGTCACGGGACAGTCCTTTCTCTTTGTTGTGCATGCTCCATGAATGGGTCACCTTGTCAACAAGCCTAGAAATCCACCGTGGACGTGTGGAGCCTCGGGATCCACATCTAATGAAAAATTACTCGGGTTTTCTGGGCACTTAAGACACAGCACAGTGGATCATTGGCTCGCCATTGCATTCGCTGGGCTTCAGGTCCCCGCGAGGAGAGAGTCGCGTAGGTTACGGTTTTTGGAGCCAATTCTTTAGTTACTAGGAGGAAATTGTTTTTGTTGAGTCCTGTCAAGTCACAATCAACTCATAGCTGCTCCTCCCGCGGGTTTTCAGAGGCAATAAATTGCACAGGAGGAGAACGCCCATCTTTCTCCCGCAGAGCAGCTGGTGGATTTGAACCATGTACCTTTGTGTTGGCAGCACAATTCCTCACCACTAAGCCACTAGAGCTTCCTTACTAGCTCAGTTACAAGGATGCAATAGTAACTGACAAATTGTTGAGAAAAAAACCCCCCTCAATTCCCTGTAAAGAGGAAGCGCCCTGCCCTCTAGTTCAGTTCATGCTGTCCGTCCACGGTGCATCACAGCTGCTCTCAGGACGAGGCGAGTCTCCCTCTCTGCCATCTTGCAGATGATGAGACTCCCAGACCCTCTTTCTAAACTTTGTGGACATAAGTAAAGGCTTGGGCTTTCCACGTGATTCACTTAAAAGCACTCGGTCGTGAGGCACATTCAGTAGCTCCGTTGCCCATTTATCCCGTGTCACATTCTTCTGAATCCTACGTCCAAAGAGACCTTTGATCTTTGTAGACTGAAATGCTGGTGTGTGATTTATTTATTTATTTTTAATAGGTACGAACACGCCAATGACGATAAAAGCAGTTTGAAATCAGATCCTGAAGGGGAAAAAATCCATGCTGGCCTCCTGAAAAAGTTAAATGAACTGGAATCTGACCTTATGTTTAAAATGGGTAACTACTGCTTTAATAAGTCAGTGCCTTTTCGAAGGCTGTTTGCTCACTGCCTTAAAGGGAAACAGGCATCATCTCTGCTCAGGACCCTTTGGTTTACTCCCAGGTGGTGGCGGAGTTGTGCCGACTTCTCCCCTCCCCACATCCCGGGTGCTCCTCTGCTCTTGAGCGTCTTCCTCCCCTCTTTCCTTTCTCGTCTGCCCCTCCTTCCTTCCTCTGCTCCCCAGAGCTCCCTCTTGGCACTGTCGTGCTGTATACAGCAGCACAGGAAAGGGGCCCACTGACCGACTCCAGACAGGATTCCCCAATGCCAAGTCCCTGTGTTGTTTCTTCTCACAGGCCCTGAGTACAGAAGCATGAAGAGCTGTATTTACATCGGCATGGCCAGCGATGACGTGGACATTGCTGAACTTGTGGAGACCATTGCAGTCACAGCCCGAGAGATCGAGGAAAACTCGAGGGTCCGTAAGACTCATGAGGGTGCCATCCCTCCGCTGAGCTCTCCCAGCTGGGATGATAAGGGAATAAGCTGCCTTGGGAAATGTCTGTTCATTCATTCTGTTTCTCCCTATCTCCCCAGTCTCAGGAGGAGGAATACAAACAAGGTGGCTTTGTATTCCCTGTGCTCTGTGAGCTCACAGCCGTGAGGGGCTAGACTAGAGAAGTGTTCCCAAAGTTGTTTTAAGTGCGTGAACAGGAAGTTAGGGTGGTGAGTGGTAAGGCGGACCCCTTCCGCTCTGCCTGGCGAGGCTGTGGAAGTCTTCCCAAGGGCAGCTGGGTCTCGGATGAACGAGGCAACAGGCTCCCTCCAGGTAACTGATTGACTAGAAAAGGGATCACAGCAAGACTAGCGCAGGAAGAACCAGATACTTCATTGATTCTTTTCTAGGAATAGGGAAGAGGAAAAAGTTTGGCATAAATCTGATGGAACTGGCTGTATTCATCCTTGGGTTGATTTCAAGTTCATTCCAAACTCAATTCTATTCTGGCTTCATTTCTATGAATATTGAGGGGTGTATCTGTTCTCTCTGGGTACTGCATTCTGATTGTGGGTACAAGCCTCCTCTTCCTTTCTGTTCCCTGGTACACGAGGCTGGTTACCAAGGGCTGCCTGTTCGGCCACCCAGCACATTTCAGAATGTGCCCAGTGCTGCGTTAATAGCTCCAGCCTCCGGGCAAGACCTCACGTGAGCCTGTCTTGGTCCTCACACAGTTGCTGGAGAACATGACCGAGGTCGTTCGGAAAGGCATTCAGGAGGCGCAGGTCCAGCTGCAGAAGGCGAACGAGGAGCGGCTCCTGGAGGAGGTGAGCCGGCGGGTTGGACTTCCCCACTGGCCCCAGCGCAGAAGTGGAGCTGCCAGCATGACTGTTGATGCCTTGTGCTTTGCAGGGAGTGTTGCGGCAGATCCCCGTGGTCGGATCCGTGCTGAATTGGTTTTCTCCGTTACAAGCAGCTCGAAAAGGACGAACTTTTAATTTAACAGCAGGTAGGACCAACCAGACTGGCCCACATCTCATTAACCGTGAGCGCTTTGACCACAAGCCTTTGGGTTTTAGTATTCCAAATGTTGGAAGCTTTGCCCAGGCCCCTGCTTCGCCAGCAGCAGTCCAAGGAACTGAGGGAGAGGAGACTGTCGGCTCCTCCTCCCACCCTCGCTGCTGAGATAGCGCAGGAAGGTCCCTCCAGCATGCCCTCACCTTCCTTGAATTTATTGTTCAGACCCTCAGTGTATCTTGGGTGTTTGGGTTCAGTTTTAGCTCAGCAGATGGCTGCTTTTGAAAGAATCCATGAGCACAGAGCATTTTCTTTCAAATCAAGCAACCAGCAAATATTAATATAATAATAATTATATAGTAATATTAAAATTAATAATATTAGTTGCTGGGGATTTGGAGAAAACCATATTAAAGTCTCTGCTTCCTCTTTTCTGTGACTTTGTATCAAGGGAGAATTCCTAAATGTTAGGCCCTTTGCATTATTCCTTCCCCAGGAAATGATGACTACACTGTCATATGACAGGAAAAATATAATTGGACTTTTAATCGGGCAGAGACCTCGGCCTTTGGCAAGGAGGCATCCAATTCTTGCTGAAGGCCACTTCCCGGACATGCTGGGCCCCACCCCACTGCGTGTCTTCCGATTCCTGGGGCTGGCAGGATGCAGCACCCATGCAGGCAGGGACAGGGGGATCGTGTCCCCGCTCCTGGCACCTCCTGGGGGCTGAAGGCTGAAAGAGCCTGTTTGGGAATAAGGCTGCCACACCCCCACTCCTTGCCTTTGCTGCAGGTTCGCTGGAATCCACGGAACACACTTACGTCTCCAAAGTACAAGGGACAGGAGTGACGCCGCCCCCAACCCCCTCGGGCACCCGCATTAAACAGAGACTTCCAGGTACGCTAATTACGAGGGAGATCAGCTGGGTTTCCCTTGGGAAACCAAACGTTCACATCACATCACGTCACAGTTTCCTCCCCACGTTTTCTATTACACACTCCTTTGTTCTCTTGCCGCTTTCACCCACAGCCCTCGCGCTCTTCATCTCGCAGCCACTGTTACTGTGTAAGTGACGAGTTCACGAGCAGAGTTGTCAGTCTGAGTTTTGAAACCCAGTGCATTCCAAGGGGAGGGCGGAGGCTTGAGAGCTGACATCATGTTCCACTGGGATGCTGACTATCCTGAATGTTCTCCTTTTTAAAAGTATTACTGCATTCAAGAACTCATGAAACGCTGCATAACTTGGATGCATCTAGAGGACATTATGCTGAGTCAGAAAAGCTAGACAAGGGCAAATGTTGGGTGAAGTCACCGTTACACAAACTGAGGAAAGGTTTACACACACAATCATTTGGTTTGGTTATCATGGATGGGAAAGAACGGAGAGGCATAGAAAAATACAGTAAGCAGATAGTAGACACATATTAAGGTGGTAAAGGAAAAGGCAATATCCAGTAAAGGGACGATCAGAACAACATCTCTAAAGAAAGGGAAGACACCGGGAGGGACAGGATTCCTGGAAACCAGGAGTAAAGGGAGGAAGTGAGGAAAGTGCAGCACAGAAATGGGTATTGAAATAAATCTCACTGAACAATATTTTATGTGAAAGGTTGAATGGAAAACTTGGTTTATAAACTTCACTGAAATAAAAATTTAAAAAAAAAAATAGGAAAACAAATAATTGCAAAAAATAAACTTGGTTTTACTGTGGTAAAAAAAGAAAACAAACCCAAACCCGGTTAACAAAAGCATTTGTCAGCTCCCCATATTTCCCTGCACAGTTAACGGACGTTGATCGTGTTCATCATGTGCAGCCGTCAGCCCAGTCGGTGCCCCTATATCACACACACATTAACACCAACACAGTGCCCGCTAAGCAGCGGCCCTCCTCACTGCTGCCCGTCACTGGAAGGGATGCGAAGTGGGGCTGCCGCTGCTGTGGGAGAGAGTTTTGCAATTCCTCTCAAGCGGAAAAGCCTTTTCCACCCAAGAATTATTATTCCCATTACCCAGTGACTTCCCCTTCCACTGGCATAGAGCCACATTGCCACAATGGCTCGCAGACAGACCTGTTTCTCTGACGACATCTTCAGTTACTCCTCCCCATCTCATTACCCTCCCGGCCTCCTGGTCATTTCTCGGATTGTACCGAGGCTGTAGCCCTTGAGCCAGCACTGGCTGTTCTCCGTCGTCTCAGCCAGCTATCCAGCGGAGGCAGCTCCTTCTGCAGCTTCCCAGAGGCCTTGCTGTACCGCTTCTCTCTTTTTCTCCTCCTCCAAGTGTCTTCTCTAAGACATAGTCCTTGTTGCCTTCAGGAGGATCAGAACCTTTTGTTGTCCTTGTTCACCTTTGGTGAATGAGGGGACGGTTGACAGCAGATCCATTTCCCTTCCTCAGTTCATACACATCTGTTTCGTGTCACTGCTAACAGTCCCTACAGTGTTCACACTCCCCTTCCCACTTCCTAGGTTTCTCATTTTCATTCCTCTTTTCTGTCCTCTCCCGACTTCTGAACGTCAGTCTTTGGGCAAACGCTGCCCTGTTGATCTCAAACAGTTGATGGCTCTCAGGAATACATAGCGCCCTAGAGGTGGTGATGGGCTCTTTTATTTGATTGAAAATTAAGGCATGGAGGTGAGGTCCATCGCAGGCCTGAACGGTGATGAAGGACCACCATTCTAGGGTTCAGCCAGTCTGTCAGAGCAGTTGGCCTGGTCTTTTATGATTGGGTTTTTTGTTCTAAGTTTTTCTCCCACTCCTTGCTGGACCTTCTGACAGAATCCCTTTCAGTGCAGTCTCTCTGGTTTCAGCAGCATGGAGGCCAAGGTGTCTGTGGTCCATTAGTTCTCTGGACTAATTGTGTTCCCAAGTGTCTGATTTTTTTTTTCACTCTTCTTTGCTCCCTTGTGGAGGTCAGATGCTGCTACCCTTATGCTCCGGCTGTTGTTTACACTTTTGTATCTCGGTTGTTAGGTGCTGTCCAGTTGGTTATATCTCATAGCAGTCTTACAAACAGCAGATCTGAACCGTGCCCTGCCCTGTGCCATCGCATCCCCTCTGACAGGCATGAGCCCGTGGTTACACTGGCTCAGTCCATCTCATCGAGGGTCCTTCTCTCTTTGACTGAACCTCTGCCATTCCCAACATGTCTTTTTCCAAGAACTGGCCTCCCCTGGTAACGCCCAGAGCCCGTGAGGGGATGCTTCACCATCCTTCACAGTAAGGAGCACCCTGGCTACGTTTCCTCCGTTGCAGACTTGGCTGTTCTTTTGGCAGTCTGTGGTGTAGGAGAGTAGTCTCTGACAAAAAATGTTGTCCCATGCAGCGTCACTAAGAGCCACTCTTACATCCCATCATGGCTCGAAAGCCATCACCTCTTCTGCCATTTCATGTCACCCTGTGAGTTTCAGCCGGGGTCCATCTAAGGTGCAAGTACTTGCTGTTTCCCCAGCACCCTGCCATCTTATCCCCCTACACCCCCATCCTGAGGTGGTTGTTTTTTAATTTTATTATTTTTTGTGTGTGTGTGTGTACCATCAGATCAGATCTGACTGGTACAGGAGATTGTCCCTCCTTCTCCAGCAGAGCATCTGGTGGATTTGAACCACACACCTCTGGGATTGCAGTGCAGCTTCTTGCCATCCTGAGGTTTTTTAAAGTTACCTTTGGGCATGTGAGTGCCCTGGTCTCCGTACTCGTTTCTCTCCACATCTGGAAAACTTCTACCGTGTCTACTTCTCAGCACCATCCAGTTGGTGCCAACTCAAGGGGCTTTTCACAGGCTGTAACTTACCTGGGAAGAGATTGCCCGTCTTTCTCCTGCAGAGCATCTGGTGGATCCAAACCCCCTGCCTTTGGGTTGGCGGCACATCTGCTCACCGCCTGGGCCACCAGAGCTCCCTTCGCAAAGGCTTCGGAGCTAGTGTAACATCTGGGATTTCTGCAGCAGCAGGTTGAATTCAGCATTTGCTTGTTGCTCTGGGCATCTTTTGCATCACTCTCCCTTACTGAGCTTTCAGTGTTGTTCATCTAATCTTTCTTCTAGGCCAGAAGCCTTTCAGACGGTCCCTGAAAGGTTCGGATGCTATGAGCGAGACAAGCTCGGTCAGTCACATTGAAGACTTGGAGAGGATGGACCAGCTCTCCACTGGGCCGGAGCAAAACGCCTCGGAGCCGAGCAGCCCTGAGCAGCACCCAGGAGCTCCTGGGCTTCACGAAGCCAAACAGAGCGCAGCGGTGCAGGAGAAGGCCGAGCACCCAGCAGATGACTGCCCACAGGTAGAAGAACCGGAGAGTTTAAGATAAAAGTCATTGTTGGGGGGAGACTGCACTCAATATTGTTTCAGGGAAGATGAAGCTCTGTTAAAAATGTGAATGGTGCCATGTCCTCAGACACCAGGAATTACTGTTATTTGTGCATACCAGATTTTTATACAAACATGGACCTGAAAGCCAGGCTTTTTAGGTGGGCAGTTGATGGGTTTTGTCTGTAGAACCACCATTGTTTCTGTCCCACCCAAGTGTTGTAATCCTATTTCCCCCCTAAATTTCCTTAAATACATGTTAGATGCGCGCACACACCCCTTAGAATTCCAAGTGCCTGCCAACACTTGTTCTGATCTGTCTTGGCATAAGCCAGTAGGCTGCACGTAGTAACTTTGTGGATGGCTGTGTCCTCCAAACGCCTCCAGGTTCTCTGCTCACCTTCTGCAGAGGACAGCGAGACGGTGTTTCTGCCACGTGTTTAGTTGGTGTGTCATTGGATCAAGTTGCAATATACAACTGGATTGTTTGGCTGAATGGAGAAGGGGCTTCATATAGGAATGTAAATAAGAGTAGCAGAAGCCTTCTCCTGCCATCCCCAGCTGTCGCTTTCCCTGGAGACTTAAGTAAGGACTGTGTCCACTCGAGCTGTGGTGAGGCTGTCCAGCTAATTAAGATCGGTGAGCACTTCCGCGAGTGCTTGTGCTCTGCCTCCCTTTATATTGTATTTGTAAAGAAATTAAAGAACTCATCTATGAAGAGTAACTATAAAATCTCTTACCACACAGATACATGTATACATGTATGTGTGTGTGTTTTTAAATACTGATAAAGCTTTACATTGAAACACAGCACAGACTGCTCATTTCTGTTTAATATCTGAGAACCTGCTAGATGCTCCCTTAAAGAGTCTAACATTAAATACACCGTGTAGCACCTAGATTAAGTGTAAACTCTAAAACCAGTATCCCTGACCTAGCTCATGTTGAAGGAAGCTTCTGCAGCTTCTTTTCCATTAGCAGCTCACCTCTCTGGGCCCAACTCAGAAACAAGAACCAGAACAGTAGGAAGGAGCTCGGTGGCCTAGTAGCAAGAAGCTGTGCTGCAGTCCCAAAGGTGTGCACTTCACCAGGGGCCTCACTGGAGAAGGAGGGGCAATCTCCTCCTGTGCCAGTCAGATCCGATTTGATGGTATACAACAAGAGAGAGAGAACCAGATCAAGCCAGACCCTTAATGAAATAATTGGGAGTTCTTGACTACCGCCCATTTCTCCTTTGTGGAAGTGCTGCATCATCTTACCTGTCCTAGTAATGGCCTCGTGCCTTCAGTCCAGTGGACTCGGCCATGGGAGATCGGAGATGGTGGGAGTTCGCGCAGGGTGTGGATGGTGGCATTTGGAAGCCTTAGTTAGACCACATTAAGCCTTTAACTACAATCGGATTTAACGTGACTCCTGACATTGAGCACTTAATCCAAGTGCAGCTTTTCTTTTCTGTTTTGGTGCAGATGATTAAAAAGTCTTCCCTTGCTATTAATCTGGTGCAATGAAGAATAGCGAATAAAACGGGGAGGGGTAAATTATCGCCTCTTGAAATTACTTTTTAAATGTTTTTTATATTTAAAATTGTTAAATTGGTTTTGCGGAAACAAAATTTCACCCTTGAGATACTATCTGAATATTGGTTTCAATAAAGGTTCTTGCAATTGTTGCCTGTGAGTGCAGTTCCTAAGCCTCCCTGTTAACTGGGCTTTGGGGCCTGCAGGTCTCCCTGTGTGCTTGCATTTGACTTCCTTGTGGATAGCAACTTCTCATGAAGATTTTTAAAGCCAATTCTGTGAAACACAGTGTGTGTAAATGGTTGATTGAAAACTAATTTGCTCTATAGATGATAATAAAAAGCTCAGGGGGGAAGAACAAGAGAATAAAAAAAGCCCCAAAGCAAACACACTGTGGACCCCAGCTCCCCGCTGACACACTGGGGGCTGCCAGTGTCGATGCAACCAGCCTCAGTTCAAAAAGAATTTCTACAAAAACTTTTAAAAACTTTCTTTTCAAGACTATAGCTTGCAGAGTAATCACAGCAAAGGCATTTCCGTGATCGCCTATCTAAAAGAACAGACTTATCTGTGGCTTTGTAGAACTCCCAGAGATTAACTCTGACCTCTTAATAGATTATCTGTTTTAGAGAGGATTATACTGAAGACCACAAAGATCGTATCTTTTCAGTTTCTAGATATTCTCATTGATATAGAAATAGAGCCATTTTGCAGGAAGCCTCCCATATTTGGGGAGGTAAAAAAATAGCTCAATTCGCACAGAATTTTGTTTTAAATAGTATCTTTCACTCAGATTTATGAGTAGAAATATCTAAGAATCTAATGATAAAACAGTAAGCCAGGCAACCTGTCTCTCCTACAGCTTTTAATAAAGGGAAAAGTCTAAACAAATGCCTTTGCCAAAATAGTATTTTATTCTCAAAGTCACTTGAAAGACTGCGAGTAAGGAGATCTATCACACACCAGGCGTAGATTCCAAACCCACATTCCTCCAGCCCCCAGCTTGGGTCTCTGTCAGGATAAAAAGTTGCTTTCTTTGGTAATTCTTGGCTTTCACTTCATGAAGAGGAGCTCTTTTCCCATAAGCCATCTTCATTTTTTTTGTAGAGTAGAGCTTTATTTTCAGGAAACAGTGCATTAGTTGGGTGTGGGTATTTTTTTAAGAACCGCAAGGTGGATCTGATGTGTTCTACGAAGTGAGGGGGCTCAGCCAGAGGTGAAGTGGAAAGGTTCTGGAAAAGAAGGTGATGGGCGTGAGAGAAGGGCAGCATGGTGCCCTTTCCCTGCCAGGATAGAGGGGTCCAGTAACGTATCTCTGTTCTTAAGACCGCGCGCAGGAAGTTCCTAGAATAGCACAGACACCTACAGAGTGTAAGGGACACAAGGGCCGAGGTGTGCTGAGTTTAAACAGCAGGTGGGTGCTTACTGCTTCCACAGCAGAACTGTTAGCAGAAGGTAAGACAGAGCCTGCCAGTGGCGGCCTAGAAAGAAGTAAGCGCTGATGAAGGGACAGCTGGTCTCTAGCCTAAACCCTTTTTTCTCCTTACAGACGAAGAAGCCAGGGTTCCAAGAGTTAAGACTTGCCCAACCTGTAAATTCTCACCTCTAGTATTTGCTTGTCATCTTGCTGCAACCAGAAATCCACATGTGGAAAAGGCATCCAGGAGTACGGTCCTAGGCGAAGTTGCTCTGTCTCTGCATCATAAATGCTGATCATCTAGAAAAGAATTGTTTCAAGGATAGAATGTAAAGGATGGGCCCCTGTTCAAACCCACACGGAGGCAAGTTCCAATGACGTTGGCTACTTAAGGCGTTAATCTGGATAACAGGCTTCTTAAAATTTTTGTCTCAGCATTTTCACTGTGTCTGGTACTGCATGGCGTGGGTGATTACGTGATTGTGATTAGTCCTCACAGCCCTGCAGGGAGGCGGCAGAGGTGCAGTGCCCTGGCAGGCGCCCTGTCCAAGCATCAGAGCTGAGAAGCCAACCGGGCAGGTCTGACTAACGCCCAGGCCCCTCTCAGTGCTACCGGAATCACAGCCTCACTATTTATACCCAAGTCGGCCCACAGTGACCGTGACCCCATCAAAAGAAAGGAAAACTCTGAATGAAAAGCCAATTTGCCAAACGCCTGATTCCCTAGATGCCTACATTTTCCGTGGATCTTTTTAACCTTGCCACTCTTAAGACGCGAGTTTTACATGACCCTGTCCATTCTTCAGGTTAACTAAACCATTCACACCAGCTGGTGTTTAGTGACCTGGTCCAGAATAACACACAATCTCACATGCAGAGGGAAACCACCTCTTCCAGGTCTCACTCATTTTATACAAGAAATTTTCTTTGGATCTGGATGTGGGTCCTACACTTTTTAGGCAGAGAACAGAGGTCTTGAGCTAGAATATAGACATCTGTTACTCTTCTGTTGAGCTGCGTGTGCGTGTGTGTTGGTCCCTGATGGTTTACAGCTTCAGAGAAGCAGATGTAAACCCTGAGGCCTAAGAGTAAGGTGTCCTGTCCCCACCCCCCAGTTCTTCACGTTGACAAAGTTGACGTCCCCACTCACTGGTCCTCCTGTCAGAGCACGGGCAGCACGCAGCTCCTCCTCCGGCCCTCGGTCTTGGAAGGAAGCTCTGTAAATCTCTGCAGTTTTTATGTTGACAGCTGTCGAGAGGAAAGGAAGGCTTTGCATGTACAGACGGCTGCAGTGGGAAACCTGGCCAGTCTTACATTTCCATCAGTGTACATAAGAGACACAGTAAGGATACAGTCCCCCTCAGAGAGAGAAGAGAAGGGAAGTTGACTAGGACTTCTGTAGTGTCTATAGCTTCCCCACTCTTTCTAGAATGAGGACATGAAAACTTTCAGCCACATATCCCCCTGACAATAGCAGAGGTCTGAGTCAGGGGTTGGTAGGGAAGCAGGGGCTCCATTCATACAGCTCGCTCTCAGCCGGCAGGCATGGGCTCATGTTCACCCTGCGGCCAGATGTGCTGTGTGTGGTGGGGAAGAGTAGGGTGGCTTGGGTCATAGTTTTGGGGGTTTGTGGATTTTCATTTTTACTATTTAATATTCCAGAAATCCAGAGTTCAAACTCAAAATCTCAAATGCACAGCCATCAAGTAGGAAATGACTCTCAGCTGACTCTCAGCTGACCCTCAGCAGGTTTTCAGAGGCTCTAAATCACATAGGGGGAGAGAGCCCACCTTTCTCCCATGGAGCCCTGGAGGATTCAAATTGCCGGAGAGGTACCACCTCAGGACTGGCAGTTCACCTCCCTGTGGACTACTTACACCACCAGGGCCCCAAGTTAGAGAGGTGAAAGTAACAGGTAAACCACTCAGGTAGACACCACGTTACAGATGAGGCAGAAGCCCTGTTCCATCCGACCCCTGTCCTCACCTCCGACCCCTACTCTCACAGGCCGAGCTGGAAGGCTAGACGTGTCCTTGCAGCCTGATGGTTTCACTTTTCTAAGATCGTCTCAATTGAAATCACACTTGGTTGCTTATGTATGTTGTTAGCCATTGAGTCAGAACTGACTCACAGCTGACCGGAGCATTTCCAGAACGGTTAATTGTACAGTAGGAGACTGCCAACTTTCTCCCACACAGCAGCTGGTGGATTCAAACCGCCTACCTTTGGGTTGGCAGTGCAGTTCCGAGCCACCAGAGCTCCCTCCTTATGTATCAGGAGATTACTGCTTCCTAGAGGGCCGGTTAGAGACACGCCGGGGCACAGGCTGTGTTTTGTTCGCCGTGACTCCTGGCAGCCCTCTGTGCTCAGGACAGCGCGCTGCCTCACCCTGCGCCCACCACGCCCTCGTCTGCTCTTCCCGGCAAGGATGTGACCATGTCACTTTATGACCAGGGGAAGTTAAGGCCTGTGACTGAGGTCTAGCAGACAGCGAGAGGAGCCGGCCAGCAGTGACGTCTGTGGGGGACGGACAGTGTGGGGACCCTGGTTCTGCCAAGTCCCTTAACCTGTGCCCATCCTGCCAACATGCACCCAAGCCATCAACCCCTCCCACCCCACACACACACACTTACCAATGCCGTAAATTATCGGAAAATGGCTTTCATTTTCTTCCCGGTCATTTAATTCTAAGAAGAAGAAGAAAAACCCCAAAAAATCCTTAAGATACCATTTTTTTTACAGTTACATCAACCAACCATTTTTGTTTTGTATAATAATGGCCAAGAAGGAACCCCTACTGCAAGGGGAGAGAACACAGCACAGTCAATGGGCCTGTTCTTGTAAGAAGACCAGTACATAAAAAATGTCTTTTTTAAAAATAAAAAGTGGGCCTGTTCTGGGCTCCTTGCTGGGGCCCAGGACAGTGAGATTTACACAGGAAAATGGCTCTTCTGGAATTAGCACATCTGCCGTGTAAAAAGTAAAAGTGCAAATTTGAGATCTAGTCCCTCCTCCTTTCCAAGAATAATGCCTCTGATCCGAAAGCCCCAACGAAGAACAGATGAGCTGTCCGGAGCCAGGGCTGTATCTGAAGACTGAACGGGATTTGAACTTGTGGCTGTCCAGTCAAGACCATTCCAGCAGACAGGGAAAAAAGCTGACACTAGACTTGGCAAAGCAGGGGTATATTGTGTGTCTCCTTCTACCTCAGAGGGCCTCATGCCTGGGCCTGCCGTAAGTGAGGGCAGAGAGTTCTGAAACCTATGGCTTCCTTCTGGGACAGAAGGCAGAACTTACCTGTCACACATAATGTCACTAAGTGGATATCGTCTTCCTGTCTGTCAAATTCACCTACAATTAGAATTTTAAAACTAGATGTCAAGAAAGAGTCTTCAGTTGGAAAAATATACATTGAGCAAGCTGAAAGGGGACAGAGGGACAAGGCCAGCTGAGCCATCTACCCTTCCATTCACAACCCGGTCCCCATCAGAGGCCAAGCCCAGTTGGACTGACCTTGCAGAAAACCAACTGCTGAGGGACAGACACCTCAGCCTCGAGCCCAGAGGAAACATGCTTTGGGAGATAAAGTCATCAAAAAAGATAATTACTCTTAGATGTAAGTTAGGGTTTTACCCTAGTTAGGGTAGACCTAGTTAGGCAGACTTAAGTCAGTGTATTTTCTTTCGTTTTCCATTCTATCTATTCCATTCACAACCACGTACTACCCTGATGTGTTTATAGATAAGCTTGTTCAAGTGTCATTAAAACCTCTTTGCTAGTAGTAGTCTAATGTCTGCATAAGTGTTCCCTATGCTGAGAGCTGGGGAGCAGGTGTGTCACCTTGAGGTGGGCTCAGGACAGGGCAAGGTTCAGAGCTATTGATCCCAGAGTTGCCCTGAGTTGTAGGCAACTCAACAGCATGTAACAACAACTCCCTCGTCTTTGGGTGTAGATCTCAGTGTACACACTTCACACTATTCTCCTGGACTAGACCTAGACTTCTTAGATGAGAAGGGGAAATACTGGGTTAAGAGAAAGGAACCTTTTCAAAAAGTCCTAAGCTGATCTGCCACATCGTCTGCTGAGGCCACAGCAGTGCTATTCGGGCACTGCCTGGGGAGACTGACTGCCTGGTTAACACTGGGCACCATTAGGGATGGAAAACATTTGCTAATGTAGCCTGGGAAACTACGTTTCCCCTGTATTTTTGTTATGTGGCCTCAAGTCGGAACCAACTCCTAGCTGAGCTTCCAGCAAGTTTTCAGAAGCTGTAAACACACAAGAGGAGAATGCCCATCTTACCCCTTTGGGGCAGCTGGTAAATCCGAACTCACAGCCTTTGAGTTGGCAACATAAACTTTACTTCCCTTTGAAACTCCCTTTCATTTCCCACAACAGTTAAAACGGTCATTTCCACCAGGAGGATTTCCCACAGTTCAGAGCTACTTTCACACCGATTTCTCTTTCGAGTCTCTCTTATCCCATCCCCAACCGCCCCTCGGGGGTTAGTAGCTAGTCTTTCTGCTAAGATTCAGAGCCCAGTTTTCCCTTAAGTCGCGGGAGGTAGGTGTGCCCCTTGAGGTTTTGTGGTATTTGGGATTTTTTTTTAATCCCAGCAAAATATAGAAACCCTTTATTTGTTTCATCAGTTGGGAGTTGGTGGGAAGTGAACTTACTGAGAAGTTGCTGAGTGAGTTTTTGTGACAACTGCCTATCATCACTGAAGCCGCCCACAAGGTGCACTTCAAGCCTGGCAAAGAGAGGGGTAGGGGTCAGAGGCCAGCACAGAGCATTGGGGTGCCGGCAGGGAGCCCTGCTTCCACCTGGAAAACAGCTCCTGGGCATCTGTGCCCTTGGCTCCCCTCCAGCTGTGCTTCCAGCCCTTTTCAAGCCATGGTCTACACACAGAATTTGGGAGGCACGCTGAGTAAACGGCTAAGGCTGCCAAGGCCAGAGGCGAGCTTCTGGGGACGCTGCCCAGGTGCCCTGAAGACAGAGGGCACAGACGTGATGCCCAGCTGCGGAGTGGGGCCACTAGAAGAATGTGGTTCTGTCAAATCCTTTAACCACCCCAAGCAGGATCCTTCCACAGCCGTGTAATTGTCTCTGCCTAAGAGAGAAGCTGGAAGGAGTGCAGCCGGGGTACCCCTTAGAGGCCAGGATGGTGGGACTCTATCACATGTATGGGTATATTGTCAGGAGAGGCCAGGCCTTGGATAAAGATAACATGCTGGGAAAGGTGGGGGGGTCAGAGAAAGAGAGGAAGACCCCCAACAAGATGGACTGACATGGTGACTCCAACAGTGGGACTGACCATGGAAAGACAGTGAGTTGTTTAAAAGCCTAGGAGGTGGAGGTATGGCAACAGGCACTTCCTAAGCATGTCTAATTGAATGCTAAGTGTCTTGGTGAGAGGGACTGACCCAGTTCTGATGCACGGCGTTTCCAAGGCTACAGATCATTACAGGGGGAGTCTGCCCACCTATCTCCCTCAGAGCAGCTGGTGAATTCAAACTGCTGGCCTCTTGGTTCACGGCACCTGGCTCCATTTGGCAGGGGAGGACCCTGCAGGGCTGTCAAAGTCTGGGCCTGTCTACACCACGTGCTCGCTCGCTTGCTGTTCCCATGGTGTGTTTGCTTCACCACTATCCATTGAGATGGGAGAACCATCTTCTGGGGCCTAAATACGACTTCACAGAACCCTGCCTGTCTCTAGAGGGATCACAAGTGCCATGAGCACTGTAGGACTAGAGATGTCCCACAGTGGAAAGAGCCTGTACAACCTGGTGTTCCTCAAGCTCACGGTCAGCTCTTCCTGCCACAGCCGGGGAGTCCCTGAAAGGTGACATGGTTAACACACTCGGCTGGAGTGTTTCCACCTGGAAACATGGAGCTACGATACGAATCTACTCAGAGGTGCCTCAAAAAACAAAAGGCCTGGTCTACAACCCACAACCCACATCCACCCTCCAAAGAGCAGTCAGCCTTGTGAATCGTCTGCAGTGCAATCTGACTGGTCCCCATGGAGTCCGTGTGGGCTGGGTGCTCCCAGCTGACTGACTCCCTACATCAGCAGAGCTACACCTTCGGAGCAAGCTTTCTCGTTTACTCTGCTTGCTGCTATGTGCTTGGTGCCAGAAGTTCTTGCTCACAGGAAGCAAGTAACTGCTACATGAATGAAGAGAACAAAAGTCTGATGCATGAAAGTAGAAGAGAATGTTCCTGAAAATAAGCCTTCCGTTTGAAATCCAGCACTGTCTCCTCAGCCTGTGCCCGTGTCCACCTTCCACCCAGCCACTCCATAACCGGAGTGACATGGCAATGCTGGGCCAGCAGCTCAGACCTGGCAGGGTGGACGCCGCGTGGCTGAACCGCTCCAACGACTGTCCCTCTAGACCTTGGTACACCGTCCCCAGTGAAACGGAAAGCCGGGGGCTCACCTGCCGCATTTTGTGGGCTCAGAAAAGGATTTTATGGAGTTGATGATCAAGGGGACCTCGGCTTTGGTGTCGGATCCATCACAGTGTGTCAAGCAGGTCGCCCCATTACCTGAAGAATAAGGGTGAGATAACTTGGGTTATTCCTGATGAGAAGCCGGGAAGCCTGTCCGTTGGAAACGTCCCATCTTTGGCTATCCTGTAAAGAAGAAAAAGAAAAGAGGTTTGGGCTCCTGAGCCAATCGATTCTGGCCAGGGCATCAGGGTGTTAACCATGCAGACTAGAAAAAAGGTGAGTGAAGTCGGGATTCAAATAGGACGACACCAGGAAGCTCACAGGACTAAATTAAGTGGCCGCCCAAGTGGGGGGCCGGTCTGAGTAGCGGCTTCCTCCACCTCTCTCATCATACCTGTGTGCCTCAGGACCACAATGTGACAAGTGGTGGCATCATCAGAACCCAGAATGGAGATGGAGCCTGTTTGGAAAAGAAATAAAATAAAATATCCAACAGCCTTGTGTGATCATGCCCAACGCACTGCTTCCTAACCTACCATCCTTTGGGGAGGTCACTGCAAACTCTCTCTGCTGAACATACAGAAGGCCCTGGGGTCCCACTTGTTGAACAGACTGACCTCTGAGAAGTCTGGCTCTTTCCTGTTTAATTAAAAAAAAAAGTGATGTAAATTAGGAGTGAAAAACTAGACAGATCGGGAGAGCCCAGGGGTACTCTAAGTGGGACATACACTAGGCTGCTGGAGGTGTGTGTGTTTTATTTGGCAGGCTAAAAGAAAAGTCCCTGGAGAGGGACGTCATGTTTGGGAGGTTGGAGGGACAGCGCAAGAGAGGAAGACCCTCGATGAGCTGGACTGATTCAGTGACTGGGGTAATGGGGGTAGCTGTGTCAGAGACAATGAGATTGGCACAGGATAGAGCAGGGTTTAGGCGACTCGACAGCACATAACAATAATAACAAAAGGGGCAAACATGATTGTTGGAAACGATGCAAAGAAAACAATGACATCCTGGCTTTTTAGGAGCAAAAGTTCTTTATCATAGTGCATCATAGAAGGGTGTGAAGTAGAGTCATTTTACAGTTGCAAAGAGGATCAGATTGTATCGGAAACCACATCACTCTTTATTTTCTTTAAAGAAAAGAGGATTACTACCTCCCTCTCCCTTCAATCTCTATGTCCTAGTACGTCCAGTTCTAGTAGTCAGTGCTAAGGAAATAACCCAAAATGACATTCATCACTATGTTAAAAAAAAACACCCAAAAAACAAAAGCAGCCACAAGAATGTTAATTTTGCTGAACCAAGCCACAACCACAAACATTGCTGTGAAAAATGAAGAATATGGGAAAAGAATTTTGAAATGTTGTGTCCCACTAGCAGATTATTTTTCCCCCCTCACATCAGACAGGCAATGTGCCGATGTCGTAACAAGGTTTAATGGTGGCGCGTGTCATACAAAAGCACGAACATCCAATCAGCGTGCTCATGAACCAGAGAAGGATCACCCATTGGTAGATTTTTGACTTAGCAAGTCCATTTGACAGGGGCGAAGTGTCCCCTGATAGCAAGCTACAGAAGTGTGATGTGAGAGAGGGAGCTCTGGTGGCCTAGTGGCAAGAAGCTGCATTGCAATCCTAGAGGTGCATGGTTTGAATCCACCAGATGCTCTGCTGGAAAAGGAGGGACAATCTTCTCCTGTACTGGTCAGATCCCATTTGACAATACACGCACAAAAAATAATAAATTTTTCAAACTTTTTTAAAAAAATCTTTTTTTGTGTGTGTACCATCAAAACAGATCTGACTGGTACAGGAGATTGTCTCTCCTTCTCCAACAGAGCATCTGGTGGATCTGAACCATGCTCCTCTGGGATTGCAGTGCAGCTTCTTGCCGCTAGGCCACCAGAGCTCGCCAAAAAATAATGAAATTTAAAAAAACAGAAACCGTAGTATAAAATTCAATTAGCTGGGCAGCTTTGGTCTGTTGTTATGTGCCGTCAAGTGACCTGTAACTCACAGCGACCTGAAGCCCCCCTGAAGCCTGCCCTGTCCTGAGCCAGTCTCACTGACTCACAAACCTGCCCCCACTGCCATAGCTACTGTATCAATCCATCTCATCGGGATCTACCTCTCTTGCACGGTCCTCCACCCTTGCGAGCATGACGTCCTTCTCCAAGGACCAGTCTCTCCTAAGAAACAGATGTGGCGACTGCACTGGAGGAACTCGGAATACCTGGCATGGGGAACGCTTCATTTTAAGCCATTTCTATCACCTTGATTCACAATCACTTAAGGGAGAGCTTAGCATTTCCTCCTCCTCATTCCTTCAATGCTGAACTTACCTTTTGCTTTGTTATTCCTGGGAAGGGGTGGGGTGGAGGGAATAAAGGTATATTTCTACCATTTCCACAAATTACCACCAGAGAGCAGAGTTATTTGTAAGGAATTAGAAACTAGGGTCATGGGGGTAGGTGTGTGGGAAGACAGATCGGCTCAAGGTAGGAGAGGGTTCAGAGCTATGGTGCACAGGGGACATAACAAGAAGAAGCAAAAATCACCATGTCTCTTCAGCACAGCTTCCACTGGCCCCTTCCCCTCCCCTCAAAGAACCATTAAAAATGTTTGGAAAATACCACTAAACTAACAGTATCCTGCTTTGGTTTCTCACTTTAAAAAAAAAAAAAGAAAGAAAGTTTAGTCAACCCTCTGTTCTTTAGGAAAAACAAGAGTCCTACTTCATAAACACATATCTTCTAAATTAAAAGCAGCCCACTTTTTTCAATCTTGTACGTTCTCTTAATACTTGAGTTCAGTTTTCCCTGAATGAGTAATATTCACTACAAATACCTTTCTCCCTCAGCCCCGCATCCAGCCCTCCTTCATCATCATTCTCCAATCTCTGTTAGGACACTGTTCTCTCAGGCCCACCACTGCCTCTGACTTGATCCCAACTGATCATGAAAACCCTACCGGACAGAGTAGAACTAATGGATCTGAACTGGTGACTTTTTGGTGGTGGTGGTTGTTATATGCCATATTGTATCAACTCTATGAACAATCGAGCCTTGTCCTATCTTGAGCCAATCTCACCACCTCTGATACACCTCATCCCACTGCCACAGTCACTGTGTTCAGTCCATCTCCTCCAGGGTCTTCCTCTCCTGTGCTGACCTTCTCTCCTTCCAGCATTATGTCCTTCTCCAAGGACTGCTAACTCCTAGCAACATGCAAGTATGTAAGACAGACTTTCAAAATTCTTGCCTGGTCTCACTCTCTCCAGGACAGGCCTATTCAGTTCTCTTGGCAGTCGGTAAATGTTCAATATTCTTCTCCAGCACCACAATTTAAAGACATCGATTCTTCTTCTGTCATCCTTAGTGACTGTCCCGCTGTCAGATGCATGGCAAGCAATCAAGAAGGCCATGGCCTGCATGAGGCACACCTTAGTCTCTAGAATGACATTATTGCTCTTCAGCACTCTGCAGAGGTCCCTGACAGCAACTTTTCCTAAAGCAACTTTTGTCTTTTGATTTCCTGACTGCTGGTGCCAAAAGTGTAGACTATGGATTTGAGCAAGATGAAAATGTTAACAACCTCAATCTTTTCTCCATCTATCATGATGCTGCGAATTGGCCCAGTGGTAACAATCTTTGTTTTCTTGATGATGAAATACAATCCATATTGAAGGATGCAGGACACTTTGTTAATGCAGGGCTCAGCAACCTTTTCTTTAAAAGGCCACACAGTAAATATTTAAGGCTTTGGTGGCTTTACACTCGATACAACTATTTATTCAACCCTGCTGCCACCTGGTCGCTCTCTGGTGACCCACGTGTTGCTTCAGTGCTGGAAGCTGTACTACGAGTTTCTTAAACACCAGCAGAGTCAGCCACAGAGGGCAGGTTTCACAGCTCTCCAGGCTATCAAGAGAGGAGGAAGCAGGACTGGCTGTCCCCTTCTGCAATAACAGTAGCTGAAAACTTACAAATATGGTGTAAAGCAGCCATAGGCACTACAGAAACAAATAAGAGTGAGAGGCTGGTTCCAGAATAACTCCATTTGGGGGTGGCCACAGAAATACAAATTTCTGCACTGTAATCCCAGAGGCATGCGGTTCGAATCCATCAGATGCTCCACTGGAGAAGGAGGGACAATCTCCTCCTGTGCCAGTCGGATCCAATTTGACAGTACATGCACAAAAAACTTTAAAAACCACTACAAATTTCATATAACCTTCACATTTCATGAAATATTACTATTCTTCTTTTTCTCCCCACCCCCCCATTTATTGGAAAATTTTAAAAAGTCATTCTTGGTTTACATACTATACAGAAACAGAATGTGGTTGGTCTGTGGGCAATCTTTAACTATATAACAATTGCAAGTATCTTTTCAATATAATTTTTTAATTATAATTTTAATGAAAGTTTAAAGAAAACTTGGATTTCCATTCATTCATTGTTGCACATTTTCCTTCCTCCCATCACCAGTTTGCTCTTCTCTTAAAAAAAATCATTCACGGGGAGCTCTGGTGGCCTAGTGGCAAGAAACTGCACTGCAATCCCAGAGACGCATGGTTCAAATCCACCAGATGCTCTGCCGGGAAAAGGAGGGATCTCCTCCTGTACCAGTCAGATCCGATTTGACGGTACACACACACACACACACACACACACACACACACACACACACACCCAAAAGAAGAAATTTAAAAAAAAAATCATTCACATAACCTTTACCCCTGTGGTCACCATCTATCAAAGTCTTCCTTTGTAAACTGAAAAATAAGAAAATGCATTGTATAAACTGTAAAAAGTGGAGTTCTTATTGTTGTGTGCTGTCGCCTCAGAACCAACCCATAGATGACCCAGGTTTTAAGAGGCAGTAAATCACCCAGGAGAAGACTGCCCAGCCTTCGCCGCAGAGCAGCTGGTGGGTAATAAACTATTATTGATGCCAGAAATCCAAGCTGGATTGAGAAGTGGCTGTGGAGCATGGGAGATCATTGCTCACGTCGGTTGGATGCTGGCTGAAAGCAGACAATACTGGAAAGATGTTCACTTGTGTTTTACTGACTACACAAAGGCATCTAACGGTGGGTCATAAGAAATCACAGATCACACTGAGAAGAAGAGGAATTCCAGAAGGTTTCATTGTGCTCATGTGGCGCCTGGATATGCACTGTCACTAACGGAATTGTGCCCCCTAAAATTACATGTACACAGAGGCTCTGTCCCACATACTTCAGGCACATTGCCAGGAGGGACCAGTCCCTGGAGAAGGATATCATGCTTGGAAGGGTGGAGGAACAGCACAAGAGAGTAAGACCCAGGATGAGATGGACAGATACAGTAACTGGGGCAAAAGGGGTTGGTGTGTCAGAGTCAGTGAGACTGGCTCAGGACAGGGCAGGGTTCAGAGCTGCTGTACACTATGAGTCACAGGCAACTCGATGCCACATTACCTATGTAAAGATCCCCAGGATCTGTGAAACCAAATCGTAGAAAAAGAATTAAGGGTGAAATACAACATCCCTTAATTCCACCACAGGCCTGACCCTACATACGGGGAGTTTCCTTAGTGTGTGGCCTGTAACACCTTTTATTTCACTGGAGACAAAAGGGGAGAAAATTGAGACATTGG